TTCCCTAAGGGAAGAATGCAAGCTTGGGATTTTTGGTGTCATCCTTTTGAGATTTTCCATTATCCCACTAGGGTGAGCCATCCTCTCCCACCTACTAAGAATAAGAATAAGATCACTAAGTTTAAGTCCAAGGCCAGAAGGCTAAAAATGCTCCAGGGCAAGATCCTCATTAGTTCAAGATTATCACCACCCTTTGACTCATCTGATAATCCCCTCCTCAATCAAGTAAGTGCCAAGGCTCTGGTTGCCTTGTGGCCTTTTGGTTCTTATGAACAATTGTCAAACTGTGTTCCCACCTTACCACAGTTTTGTTCCTTGTTCTTTCTCTCCAACATGTGCCACAATACCTGGCAGATTGGATCTCACTGCAGGGATCTCTGATAAAGCATATGGAATTAAAGGATTTTTTTTGTGGTGGTTTTTATTGTTTGTTTGTTTTAAATGTAATTTATTCTCTACATAAAAATTGTAATTGATCCCCAGCACCCAAAAAAAAAAAAAAAAGAATTGTAATTGTGGCAGTCATGGACTGGAGGAGAGAAAAAAGACAACCCCATCCACGAGCCAGGTATCACACAGGTCGGGAGACAAAAGGAGTCCCGCCACTGCCACACAACCCTTCCCCCTGCCCCTGCAAGCAACTGGCTGATTTGGAGGAACACAGGCTGAGATGCTTAGCAATGAAGTAAAAAATACAACTTAATGCTTGCATTGTTTGATTGACTTCCCAGGCCTAAAGCTGGTAGTGTGAGCATCTATTTAGAGGATGACAGTATGGAATACAGCAACTATGGAGGATTTCTTTCTGTCTTGTTTTTGAAATCCAATATTATTTTCACTGTTTTGTCCCATTCTATTGTTTTGTTTATTCCCTTTAAAATAAATTTTTAAAAATAAAAACAATTGTGTTAATGAGTTACTATATGATATTTGGGATACATACATACATTTTATAATGTTTAAATCAGAGTAAGCATATCAATCTCAAACATGTATACTCTAGGGTGAAAACATTTCCAGTAGTGAACACCTATAATCCCAGTACTCTTGGAGACTGAGGCCAAAGGACTACAAATTCAAACCTAGCCCAGGCAATTTAATGACGTAGCAAGACTCTGTTTCAAGATTATCTCAGTGCTGAGGATGTGGCTCAGTGTGGAGGACCTAGGTTCAATCCCCACGCCACAGAAAAAGAAGGAAATGCATGGTACGAGGGTGTTATCTAAGTTTCCCTCCTGACCAACAGCACACACATGGAGTTTGTCTGTCTGTCTGTCTGTCTGTCTGTCTTTCTCTCTGGCAGTACAGAGAGTAAGGATTAAACCTTACAGAGAGTAAGGATTAAACCCAGTGAAAGGGTTTTGGCCCAGACAGGACACTATAGCCAGGAAAATCTCAACCAGAACCAGGAAGCCCCTATCTCCTCCGCCCGTAGGAATTTACCTGTGACTCCATCTTCTCCCCCCTGGGAACTTACCTATGGCACCAAACCTAGGACCAATGGGCTACCCGTGCATCCCTGATGCCCCCTTAGGTTCCACCCCAAACCGAGGCTATTTACATACCCCCCCCATGCCACTTGTCCACTGGAGAGATGGCCAGACTCCAGCGGTGGGGGGTGCCGGTCATCTCTCCCCATGTTCTCAGAATAAAGGCCTCTTTTTGTTTTAAGCTTCTCATCTTTTGGAAATACTTTTCATCTTTTGGAAATAATCCTATCACCCAGGACCTCACACTTGCTAAGCAAGCACTCTACCACTTGAGCCACAACCCTTTTTATTTTATTTTCAGAGAAAATTTGTCTAAATTACCTGGTCTGGCCTCAAACTTTTCATCTTCCTGCCTCAGCCTTCCAAACAGCTGGGATCATAGGCATGGGCCATACACTCAGCTATACTAGCTTGTCGTTCCTCCCTGACCATTCCTCCTCCAATCCCTCTCCATTTCTCTGCCCCCCATTTCCCCTGGTCTCTGAGAGGGACTATAGCCATCACTACAGTCTCAACTTCATGGGGCGGAGCGGTTGTTTTCATGTGGAACGTACTGGAGGATTCTTCTTTAGTGAAATACAATGTGCATACAGAAAAGTGTCTGTCTAGGTCACCCAGGGTCACCAATTCACAGCCTGCTGTAGCTTCACCATCAACACACACACAACCAACACCAGGAGCCAGGCACTGTGGTGCACACCTACAATCCCAGCACTCAGGAGAGAGGCTGAGGCAGGAGGGTTACAGAATAGTGAAGGCCAAGCTGAGCTCCACAGAGTGTGCAAGGCCAACCCTAAACCACACAGTCAGACCCTATCTCAAGAGCACAAGTCAGCGTCACCAGAGAACCAGCCATGCTGGAACTTGGGAGGCCAACCAAGAAAGCAACAAGTCCTCCTTCCTGGTAAGTGGCAGCAGAAGCCAGTCACAGGTACGCCAGGGAGAAAACAAGTCAGTGTCTCCCATGAACCTACGGGCGCGCGGGTGCCATCCTGACCCCCCTGTTAGCAACTGGATGGTGTCTAGGACAGCTGGGGTTGATAAAAACTAAGGCACATAAAGCAACCTAATGCTTGTATGTTGGGTTGATTGTGCTGACCTGAGGCCAGAGGTCTGAGCATCTCTTGGGAGGATGGCAGTATGCAATATAGCAATTATAGGGGATTTCCTTCTATCTTCTCTTAGAAGGCAAATATTGTTTTCACTGTTTTGCTTTGTTCTGATTGTTTTGCTCTATTCAATATTCTATTTTGATTGGTTTTTACAATGTTTTGTTTTTGGCTTGATTTTGCTATACCTGGTTGAATGAACAACTGTTGTGAAGATAACGAGATATACAATGGTTCCTATTACTGTATCCCGGTACCTTGCTCTGAAGTTCTGTACCAATTTCACTGCATTGCCTCAGCTGGCTTTGTTTTGTCTTCTTTTGTTGTATTTTACTACCTTCAAAAAAATTTTTTTAAAAAGACCCCATCTCAAAATATAAAATAAAACAAAACAGGCATCAGAAGCAAAGTTCTCCATCAAAGGTGAAAATTTGATAGACAAGAAGTTATCATTGAATTCAAAGGTACAGCGTGGGAGAAGAGGAAGAGAAGGAGGAGAAAGGGAGGAGTTGGCAGCTGTGGACTCGGACTGGGGGGGGGGGGGTTGGGAGTGGGGAGCCCGAGAATGAGGGAGTGGCTGAGAGAGTTTACCCCATGAGGCCACTCGAGGCTGCGTCTACCGCCATGGAACAGCGAGGACTGGGGTCACAGCGCCTGCCTAGCAGCAAGCCCTCTCTGGATCCCCACATCCAGCAGTGCAGTAGCTGGCTCGGCTGTAAGGAGGCAGGGAAGCAGGTGTCCAGGCCGCACCATGGAGGTCATGGACATGCACATGGACCTCGACCCTAAGCTGATTCAGAAATTCAACTGTCTGGGCACCACTGACAAGAATGTGCTCATCTCCAAGATTGGCTTCCAGCTCAGCATGGCCAGCTGTGCCTGCTTCCTGGACGAGATCAGTTGGAACTTACAAGCAGCAAGTGGCGCCTATTATGACAAACATCAGTGCGCCCTCTATGGCCTTCGTTGACGATGTCACCACGGGAGAAGGGAAGTACATACCTCCTGACACTCAGTTTGTAAAAACATGGCACATCTGGAATTCTGGAGCAGAAGCCTGGAACATAAATCTGGCCCCCAGCAGTGACACAAACAACTTACTTGTGGTGACGTACAGTAAGGCAGGCACCCTTGGAGAACAGAGGAGGTCAGGGGTGAGTCTTAGGTTCTGTGCTACCCTTCCCGGCAAAATAGACTCCTAGACTGCCGCTCCCAGAGGTGGGGCCTGTGCACTACCTGTGCTCTCAGGCCAGCAGCAACAACACAGAAGCCCACTCTCCGCCCACTCTCCGCATCCCCATGTCCTGTGCATGTCAACTCTGTCCACATTTGTAACACGTTCCTGTCTCTGCTCCAGTTAAGGTGTCATAAAACCTTTGGCATTAAAAAAAAGTATCAAAATGTCAAAAATAAAAAATAAAGAGTGGCAGGGAACCTCAAGAAATCCGGCTATGATTTGATCCCTCATGAGCCCTGGGATAGGCCAACATGTCCAGGTAGCAATAGAGCAGTCCTGCAGTGGCGAAAATGGCAGGGGAGAACGTCAGCAGGTCACAGCTTTGGAACAAGTAGGTAGAGATGACAGTCGTCCAGCAGAGAAATCCCTTCTCCAAAGAGCGAGTTTCACCATAAAATAAAAATCGGGTCTTGGGTGATATGCATTTTAATATTAAATCTATTAAACAAAGGTGGTAACAGTGAGCAAAAAAAAAAAAAAAAAAAAAAGACACCGTCAGCTTGCAGAAGCCCTGGATTCCTCCCCTAGTCACCCCTGCCACCTAAGGGCAGTCCAGTCTGTGCTTTGCATAAACGAAGGCACACAGTGTGCCCTGTCTCACCTGGCTTCTTTCACTCTTGCTGTTCCGTAAGGTTCACGCATTTCATTGTACGTAAGCATAGACTGCTCAAATCTTTGCCTCAGAGTACCCCACTGATTGGCGATTTGTACCACGAATTCTGCTGATAATGGCGGCTTGGGTAGCCCCAAAGGTGAGGCTGTTAAAAGTGGTGCTGTTTTGCCTCAGAACAGCCCTTTGACAGAACGCCCAGAGGCAGAGGGAAGGAATGTAGAGAAGTCACGGCTTCTGCTGCTCCCTGCCAAGGTCTGTGGCGCCACCTGCTCAAGAGCACATGACATGCTGAGTCATTTTTACAAGTTTTCTGGGGACCTGAGAGCAGTCTAGGGCTGACCTTTGACCCCATCTGGAAACAACGCCCTCATGAAGGAAGCTGGTCACGCACTGAGCTACCTCCCCAGCTACCCAGTAACTGTAGCTCTTATTTCAGTCCACAGTTCCTAGAGTCCTAGACAAGCAGACTAAGGATCAGGGCTCCTTGGCCAAGGGGATGGGGCTGCTAAGTGGACCCGCCCCCAAGGCCTGTGGCTGCAGGGCTAGCTCCTCCTAGACCTCTCTGAGCTGTGATCCCTGGCAGACAGACACACTGGTGTCCTAATGGGACAGGTTCCCACGCAGTCTCCCTGGCCCCACCCTAGCCAGACCTGTTCTGGATCCTGCCACTACTCTTTCCCAAGGCTGCCACACCTTCCATCCATCTGGGGCAGGGCCTCAACCAGGAAGGCTGGCAGGAGGAAGGCTGGCCTGCCACAGTGGGTCATGGAAGCCGCAGCAGAGCCTGTGCACTACCAAAAGCTGGAGCTCTGGGAGCTGACAATGGAGTCAGGGGAAGAGGAGGAGGAAGACGAGGAAGATACCTCAGAGCCACTGGTCATCTACTCCAGGAGGCCCCAAGACAGCCCTTGGTGAGTCAGGCAGGGGCCTGGGGATTCCACTTCTCAGGCAAGTCCCTCTCTCTGGAGTCCCATGTTTGGCTTAGCTCCAGGGACTTTCTAGATGAATGGAGGAGGCCATGGGCTAAGCTGCCCCATGAACATCTCATCTGTAAGAAGCAAGCCCCTATCGTGTCCATGGCTGTGTCCCAGGATGCCAGCCCCCACGCCCTGGTGCTGGCAGCACCTGCTGAGACCTGGCTACACCAGCTGGGCCCTGTTCTCAGCCTGCCAAGCTCCTTCAGGCCTCCTGCTGACCAGAGGCCCCTGCCTCTCAACCTCTGCAGACCCTGCCTCAGGTCCCCAGCTTCTTCCGCCTTGTGTCTTTGCCATTGCCCTGCCCTCTGCCTGGAAGCCTCTCTCCCTGGAGAATGTGTACTCTTGCAAAATCAAACCCTTTGGAGAAACATTCCCTGGGTTCTCTGGAGGCTCTTTTGGGGGTCCCCCAGCCCTGGCTCACAATACCCATTTTTGCAGGAATAAGGTTGGCGGGCTGCCCGGAGCCTGGGCCCGATTGGTGGCAGCCCTGCTACTGCTGGCAGTCAGCTGCTCCCTGGCCGTGAGACAGCTCCAAGGCAGGGGCAGCCCGGCAGGAGGCATGGGCTCCGGGGCCCCTCCAGTCAGCAGACATGCCCATCATGCTGGCGAGTTCCACCACAGTGCCATCATCAGCCCTGCAGGTGGGTTCTGGAGAGGACAGGGACTAAGGCTCATGGCCCCAGGCCCGGCCCTGTGACAGTCTCATCCTTATTGTAGCCCCTTGTTCCCACCTGGGCCAAGAGCTGCTTGTTGCTGGGGGCAACATCGTGGATGCCGGAGTTGCAGCTGCTTTGTGCCTGGTTGTAGTGCATCCTCACGCCACGGGACTAGGTCAGTAACCTATGACCCTGGGCACTGACTCTAACATAGGTCTTGGAATTCAGTGGCTCTGAATCTCAAGCTGGTGAGCAGAACACAGGATTGGGATACTCATCCCAACGCTAGGGTGTGGCCTTTGAGCCTAGGTCTGTGCAATCTCACCTGTGGCCTGATCCCCAGCTCAGTCAATAACCCTTATCTCAATAACCCTAATCTCATCCAGGAGTGGTGGTGCACATCTGTAATCCTAGCATTTGGGAGGCTGAGGCAGATGGATCACTGTGGAGCTCAATAACAGGCTGGGCTACATAGTGAGTTCAAAGACAGCATGAACTATACAGTAAGACCCTGTCTCAAAAAAAAAAATTTAATCTTACACTAGTCAATGACCTTTCACCAGGTCTACTGAGTGATGCTGGCCCATCCTAGCCAGTGCTCCTGACCTTGATGTGACCTTTTTCTCCTCCAGGTGCCACATTCTGGGGTCTTTTCTATAACAGCTCCTCAGGAAACTCAACTGCCCTGACCCCAGGACCAGCCCAGGTCCTGGCACCTGGCCTGGGGCTTCCCACTGCTCTGCCTGCCCTGCACTTGCTTCATGCCCGCTTTGGCCACCTGCCCTGGCCACACCTTCTCAAGGGTCCAACAGTGCTGGCTCAAAAGGGCTTTGTGGTGGATGCATCCCTGGCAAGGGCTCTGGCAGCCCAGGGCACAAAGGGCCCCTGTCCACTGCTTTGTCATGCTGATGGGACACCCCTGGGCCTCGGGGCCCAAGCCACCAACCCAAAACTGGCAGCTGTGCTACGCAAGGCAGCTCTTGCCCCCACACCAGACCTTGCTGGGGATGCCCTACTGAGTCTGCTGGCCAAAGACCTGGGGCTGGAAGAACCTGCAGCTGGGCCTGCACCCACCTTGGAGCCAGCACTGCAGCTTTCCATGCCCGAGGGCATGCTGTTCACCACGCCTGCACCTTCAGCTGGCCCAGAGCTCCTGGAACTGCTAAAGGCAGCCCCACACTCCAGGGAACCCAGCCCCAGCCCCTGCCCACTGCTCCCACAAACTGATGGGGCCCCTGTGAGCAGTATCCTGGCCACCGTGGACAGCAGCGGCTCTGTGCTCCTTCTCACCTCCTCGCTCAACAGTTCCTTTGGCTCTGGACAACTGTCCCCAAGCGCCGGTGTCCTGCTCAGCAACCTGGTGACCAGGTCTGCAACTAGTTCCTGGGCCTGCCCCCTCATTCTCCATGGCAGCCTGGATGACCCAGAGACTGATGTGTTAGGACTGGTGGCTTCAGGGACCCCCAAGGTGGCCAGAGCCATGACTCATGCCTTGCTCAGGCATCTGGCAGGGCCCCAAGCTCAGACCCAACATCAGCACCAGGGCCAGCAAGGACCAACAGAGAGACCCAGCATTTGTGGCCAACAGACTCTACTCCAAGTGGCAGCCCATGCAGAACATGCCCAGGTCTCCAGTGTCCCCACTGGGTGCTGCCCCTTTCAGGGCTTCTAATGGTGAGGCAGGGGTCTAGCACAGTCAGAACTGTCTCAATCCTGAGCAGATCCAGCATAGAGTATGCAGAGTGTACAACTGCCATGTGCTTGTGGTTGGCCCAGCCCCAGCCTCTCCAGGTCAGTTATGTCTTTGCATGAACAAAGGCTGGGCTGAGGTCCTGGGTTGAAATTCTAGCATCCAGCTCAGTTATTCCTCACAGCATCCCCATTTGATGGGACTTCTGGCTCTTTTATCAGCAAAGGAACTTGAAGATGATAAAGAGCAGCAGGCCCTGGGGCTACTTCAGCTCAGCTCTGCAGAGGACTGGTGGGGAACACTCTATGGGACAGAGCAGGCAGTACCCAGTTATTGCTAGCATCTCCATCTTCCTTCCTAGGCCATTCTTTGCCAATTTCCCTTAACAGGGAACAAATAAAAATCAAGTTTCCTGGGTGCCAAATGCCATTCCTGCTTTTTGGTTAATTGCCCATCAGGTCTTTGAGGCCCTTGATGTCAGGACATCCCCCAACTCCGGGCAGCACAGGTGACCAACACCCAGAGAAAGGCAGAGCCTGGACTTAGCAACTTCCAGCTTCTCCCTGCCTGTCCTTCTGCTCCTGGGGGCCACATGCACAAGGTAAACCTCTTAACATCAGGGCAGGGCAGATGTGGTAACTGTGAGTAGGAGGTACCCCACGGGTATGGATGCCCAGGGGCTGGAGCTGGGTGTGTAGAATTGTGGGAAGAGGGTGGTACTGGGGGTGGCTAAAGCTCTAGCACTGAGCTACACACCCTGTTTATTTTTTACAGCAAGACAAAGTCTTGCTTAAATTGTGCAGGCCAGCCTTGAACTTCACATTTCCTCCCCTAACTCCCGAGTGGCTGGGATTACAGGTGTGCACCACAATGCCAGGCTGGGGTCTCTTTAGAGAGGCACAGCAGCACCCCCCTTCCAGCACCATCAAAGGCCACTCTGATGCAGTGGTGATGCTACCATCTGCATCTCCCCCTCAAAGATAACTTTTCTCCAGCTCAGTGATGGTACCACAGTCTACCCAGTTATTGGGGCTCAAGCTTGGCATCTTTCTCTATTTCTCTTTCCTGACAACCAAAGCTGACGAGCTCCAAATTAGCCCAAGCCTGACCGTTCTCATCCACTATAGTCTTGGACACAGTCTTCCTACTCTAACCCTTCTAAGCCCTGACACACCCCCCACACAGCCACCAGGTGATCTTTTAAAAATGTAACTCTGATGTGAAACCCTCAGGGAGGGTTTACCACTCATCACACGCAGCATGAAACCCAAACTCTCAGACCTGGTCTGGGATTCCACTCAGCCTTGCTTCTGTGAGTCCCCTGCCAGCCTCACCATCTTTATCTCTGAGTCTTCCTCGCTGCTATGTGTTCAGCCTGGGCTTTTGTCCCCTCTTAATCTCAGGTCTTTGCTCTAGGGGGAGGTTGCACCCTTCTTGTCACTTGGCTCTCAGCTCACCTGTCATCTCTTCATCAAAGTGACCACCCCCTCAAATCAGTATGGCAGGTTGGGCACGGTGTCCCAGGCCCATCATCTCAGGACTCCAGAGGCTGAGGCAGAAAGATTGCCAAGGGTTCAAGGCCAGCCTGGGCTACGAAATGAGTTCAAACCCAGCCCGAACTACATAGCGAAAGCCTATCTCAAAATAAAAAAAGAAAAACACCCAAATCAAATCACTGTCACAAAATTTTATTGAATTTTCTTTTAAATTACAAGGTTTTTAAGCAGGTGACGAGTTCACGTTTTTCAAAATTTAAAATGGTCCCTTTAACCCCTGAGTTATTTGCTTTCCTCATAATTCTGATTTTGCAAGTGTATTTGGCTACTTATTCACCAATCCTTTACCACACTAGAAAGTCCGCGCAAGGAATGCTCTGTTCCGCCGCCCGGCTCAGCCCAGTCCCCGGCACACAATAAGGTTATCAGCAATGCTGAATTGGTTATTCTTGACAGCCTCTAGGCTGGGAGCTCAGGGGCGGCTCTGGGACGAGACAGATTACGGCCTTCGGGATTTGTTTCCCAAGGCGCGTCTTTATGAACGCCCCGGGAGGGGTGCGCAGTCTGTTTCTACTCAGCAGCGGGGTTTTCCTCCTAGTGAAACCGGAAGGATGGGGCGGGGCCTCAAATGGCTCCGCCCCGCCCAGCTGACCGTACTCAGTGCGCGTGCGCTGCGGCCTGACCTGGAAGTGGTTGCCTGTGGAGCCCACGTGTCTCGTGCAGCATGGCGGAGATTCGGAGTCCTAAAGTTGCGGAGCCTGCACCTCCTGGAGGGGCGATGTCTGCGGATCGCCATGGCCTGCTGGAGCACAGCCGCGAGTTCTTGGACTTCTTCTGGGACATTGCGAAGCCGCACCAGCAGACGCGGTTGGAGGCCACGGAGAAGCTCTTGGCGTACCTGCGAGCAAGGCCGGAGGCACGGTGGTGGGCCTGGGACGGGGCGCCGCCGAGGTCCCGACCGAGAAGTGGCGGCGGGCCCAGGGCTTGGGACAAGATCGCGCTGTCGCGACTCTGGATGCCAAAAAAGGCGAGGGCAGCCCCTTTTGTTACTAACACGGCATTCTCTTGATTCCGCAGGGATCCGAGAGGAAGTATGCCCTGAAGCGTCTCATCACTGGCTTGGGAGTGGGGCGAGAAGCCGCGCGGCCCTGCTACAGTATGGCTCTGGCACAGGTGAGACTGACTCCCGGCAGGGCCCCCGTCCTTGCTAGGTAGAGTAGTGCGCTGGGTGGGGAACCTCGGCTGTAAGGGAGGGGCGGCCTGAGCTGATGGGAGGCACCCTTCCCTGGAAGTAGTGTGAGAAAGTTGGTGGGCAAGGCCTGTCTACAAAGTTTAGGCAGATGTTGTGGAAATTGGAGTGAGTTTTCTTTTTGCTGCTGCTCTAGAGCAGTGATGGCGAACCTATGGCACGTACGCTACAGCGGGCACCCTAAGAAAGCCCTCTCTGTCGCCAGACCAGCCACGTTGCCCTAGCATCACTCCAGCAGGCCTTGGGTAACAACGCATGTAGGGGCAGTGTTGGTACTTTGCGTTAAATAAGTGGGTTTTGGGTTGCACTTTGGGCATTTGGTCTCTAAAAGGTTGGTCATCACTCACCTAGCGGTAACTCAGGCTCTACAGATAGGGTGGATTGTCTGGGGATCCGAGCATGCTCTCTAAGGGATATAAGAAATGAATTCTAAAGCCTTAGTAAGACAGGGAAGGGAAACAGGATTCCCTTCCATTTGAGCAGTAGTATCCCATCCTCCGCACTGCCCAGAGATGCGTGGGCAGTTTTACAGATGTCCTTTGGGTTTTCAAGGCTTTCTGGGTGGTTAAAGCCAGGCACGCTGATGCACACCTGTAATGCTGGCTACTCTGAAGGTTAAGATGGTTGCAAGTTAGAACCCAAGCAGGGCAACGTAGCAAACTTTGTCTCAAAGTAAAATAGCAAGACTGGGAATGTAGCTCAGCACTCCCTGGGATCAGTCTGCAATACCAGGAAAAAGAGAGGGTGTTTATAAAGTCTGATAACGGGGTTGGGCCATTGCTCTGAACCCCTCTCTTTTTCTTCCCCCTTGTCCTGGCAGCTGCTACAGTCTTTTGAAGACATCCCCTTGTGCAGCATCCTGGAACAGGTGCAGGAGAAATATGACCTGAACACTGCGAAGAAGGTGAGCATGGCCCGAGGATACCAGCTCCAGGAATGGAGGGTGGATGGTGTGTGGGCCTTTCTTACTGTGCCTGCCATCTTTTTCTAGGCAACAATAAGACCTGTGCTGTTTGCAAACCTGTTTGGGGTGCTGGCACTGTTTCAGTCAGGCCGACTAATGAAGGTAAGGGCTCTGGGGGGCAAGGGCCACATAGACTACCTTAAGAAGGCGGGGGCAGCATGCACTGCTCATACCTCTGTTCTCTGTGGGTACCAGGACCAAAAGGCCCTGATGAAGTCGGTGAAGCTGCTGCAGGTCCTGAGCCACCACTACAACCACCTACAGGGGCAGCCCCTGCAGGCCTTGGTGGACATCCTTTCCGAGGTATGAGCTGATGTGCTTCACTGACAGTCCCACAGAGGTACAGCTGGGAATGTTTCAGTAACTGCGTTGAAAAGGTGGAGGGGAGGGGTGTAGTTTGGTAACATTTTAATGTGTCTAAAATGCTATCTTAAATGTGAAATTGGCAAAAGAGCTGTTAAGATAGTTTGCATTCCTTTTGTCATATTAAATCTGAAATCTGCCATGTGTGGTGGCACAGACCTGTAATCCCAGCACTTGGGAAGCCAAGGCAGGAGGATTGCTAAGAGCTCAAGACCAGCATGAATTACAGAGTGAGAATCTGTCCTGAAAAAAGAAATAGGCTTGTTCTCTAAGAAATCAAAACTTACTAGTTAGAAGGGCATTTCCAGGCAGATCAGCCTCAGTGAGATGCTTGTTGAAAAACAACTTTTCTAGCACCTGGGAAGCTGAGGCAGGAGGATGACCATGAGTTCAAGGCCTAAACTACATAGTGAGATTGTCTCAAAACAACCCCAAATTCTTTGAAGCTCGGGGTTGTTAAATAAACACCTACTGATGGTTCTGGTGGCCTAGCAAGGTGGAATGTGACAGATTGTGCCCAAACCCTGACAGGCAGAGTAGGACGTACCCCATGGAGGTAGACTGAGGGTACTGGGAGGGAACCACAGTTCCACAGTCTTGTCTCTTTACTAGGTCCCAGAGGCCATGTTTGAGGAGCTCCTGCCAAAGATCCTCAGGGCTGACTTCAGTGTGATCCTCAGCTCTCCCAGGCACCTAGAGCTCTTCCTCTTGGCCTACCGGAAGGTGCCCTCAAAGCTCAAGTCCTGGATGGGATCTATTGACCTGTTCACAGATGAGAATATGCCCAGGTGTGAGAGAAGTGGGTGGTGGCCTCTCCCTGGTGTCCTTGTACCCCGTCCTGCTAGGCCCTGTTCCCTGATTCCCCTGTCTCCACAGACTGGTGAATGTGCTGAGGTTGGCAGCTACCTCGGCGAAGAAGGAGAACAAGCTGCCCAACGTGGCCCTGGACCTGCTCCGCCTGGCTCTTAAGGAGAATAAATTCCCGAGTTTCTGGAAGGAAGTCCTGGAGCAGGGGCTCCTGACTAAGGCATCCTGGCCAGCCAGGTGCGTGTGACAGTTGCCCCCTTGTGTCACCTGGAACTGCCTCCCTAAGGTTCCATCCAGAGGATGGTGCTTTGACCAGGTTCTCCCCACCCCTCAGCTTTCTGTGCTTCCGCCTGCTGGGCGCAGCTCTGCCCCTGTTGTCCAAGGAACAGCTGCAGCTGGTGATGCGAGGAGACTTGGCCCGTCACTTCGGGGAGCACATGGTCACTGCTAAGGTGGGTGCTCCATGCTGCAGTTAGGCACTGACTGAATGGGCCATACAGCTGGCTTTTCCTGCCAACAAGAGTGGAGCAGGACCTGGTTCCTGAACCTCCCTGCTCCCCTCGTTGGGGTGACGGTGCTTAGAACATTGTCCCAGTGAACACCATCATACTGGGCACGTAGCAAACACTTGCTGGTTTAACCAGTTCGTTTCATTCATAAAACAGTGTACTGGGCCAGCCACAGAGGGTTGTCCTAACAGTTAAACAAGCTGCCACAGGAAAACATGGCACAGGATTTGACACCTACCTGATAAGCACATGAGGGATGGTGGTTTTGAGTCCCAGGAGGACACTCCACGGTTTGCATCCTGCTCAAACCAGGGTCTTAATTCCACCCTGTAACAGGCCAGGAAAGCAGCCCATCACCATCTCCACTGAGCAAATAGAGGCCTGGCTGCTGAGCAGGAGCACTATAGTGTCAGGGTACAGTGACACTGCAAGATAAGGCTCAGCCCAGCTGGGTAAAAGGGAAGGGACCTTAGGCTTGGATTTTTTGTTTTGTGGTATTTCACACCAAACCGTGCCACCCCACCCTTCTGTTGTTTGAGTTAGTGTCTTGCTGAGTTGTCCAGACAGAGCTCAAACTTGTGATCCTCCTGCCTTAGCGTCCCCAGATTCTGGAATTGCAGGTGTGTGCCACCAGGCCTTATATGCCTAGGTTTATCCGCTGTGGAAGGTGCTGCTAGGGCTGTGGCTCCGGGTGCCTGACCCTCCCTTCTGCCCAATTCCTGCAGCTCTCAAGTCAGTCCAAGTTCATCCCAGAGATGAGCGAGTACGTGGGCACCTTCCTGGAGGGTTGCCAGGATGACCCTGCACGGCAGCTGTCTGTGATGGTGGCCTTCTCGTCCATCACAAACCAAGGTCTCCCTGTCATGCCTACCTTCTGGCGTGTCACAAAGTTCCTGAGTTCCCAGGCCCTCCGAGACTACATGGCCTGGCTGCAGGACATGTTTCTCCGGCCGAACCTAGACTGCTTGGTTGACTTCAGCACTGCCAACCAGAAGAGAGAACAAGACGCTTCATTCAACTCGTGAGTGACCAGAGGGGTAGGGGCCCAGGTGAATGGGCCTTGGCCCCTTGTGATGGGGCTGCAAACCACAGGAGGAGGGAAGGGAGGAGTCTCAACTCTTAAAGATGGCCCTGGCCTCTCCATAATGATGTATAGGACACGTCTTGGTTTCCTGTTAAGGTGGGGCAAAGCAGTTCCCAGTGTTTATCATCACTGAATGTCTTCTGTGGGGTTGATCTTTGCTCCACAGACCCGAGCGGGCTGTATTCCGGCTCCGGAAGTGGATCATCCACCGCCTGGTCAGTCTTCTGGACACCTTGCAGCTGGAGAAAGAGGAGACCTTGGTCGAGCAGGTGGCCAGGTGTGAAATGTACCCAGACCTCAGTAGTGACCAAGGAAAAGGGTCCCTGGCCTAGTCTTCGCGTGGGTCCACCTTGGAGCCAGAGGCCTTTTGGTTGAATCATCAGTGGAGAATAGGTGCAGAGAGAAGTAGGGGCCTGCAAAGGGAAGGGACCCGAATGTCCAGGGTTCCAGGGGTCTAAGGACATGTTCCACAAATGCTGCGGGCAACCTGGGCATACCATGGTTGCAGGAAAACTGCTTGCCTGGTGCCTCCCACCACTGCCCAACACAGAACAGGGCTTGGGCCTGCCCACCACCACCAGGTCATGAGAGCCAGCTCCAGCAGCCCCGTGTTTGCAGGCTCCGGAGCCTAATGTGGCCTCTGCCACACAGCCTCACATCTGTCTTGCCTTCAGGAGGGCTGTGGTTCCCAGAGAAGTAGCCCATGCTTCTTGTTACCCAGCGTCCTCTGGCCTTGCCCTCTTGCGTCCTGGGCACCATGCCCCACACAGTAGCCCCTCCTCCCTTCTGGCACACCCTCTATGGTACCACCCCAAAGGATAACCTGCTAGGACAAATGGCACAAGCTGAGATGACACTGGGTCTCTCCCAGGTTTTGTTTGTTCCACTCCTTTTTCAAGACGAAGAAACCCACGGGCCAGATCCCAGAGACCAAGCAGCAGTTCTCCCTCGATATGGACAGCCGCATCCGAGAATTCTTTGTCAACGCCTTCTTCAGGTGGGCCCTGGGCAGTTGGGGACATCCAGGATGGTGAGGTGGCCTTCGGTGCTAAGCTGGGAGCAGTAGCAAGCACCTAGTAGATGTGGAGGCCAGGGATCAAGCCCTGAACTGGGTGGGCAGAGGGGCTGTGCTGGTCCGTGCAGTCCTGTGACTCCAGTCTCGCCCTCACCAGCCTACTACAGACCCTCACCACCAAGTCCAGGCACGTACCAGGCCAGGCCCACAGTGGGCACCCCTGGATCTACCGCCTGGTGCAGCTTGCAGACATGCTGTTGAATCACAGTCGCAACGTGGCCATCATCACACCCTTCACAACACAGCAGCGCCAGGCCTGGGACCAGTGAGGCAGGGGCTTCCACGGTGGGTGGGACACTTGGGTGTGGCCAGCAGTGATATCCTGCCAACACGAGTATCTGCCCCGCCCGCAGCATGCTGGAGACTCTAAAGGAACTGGAGGCCCGCTCCTCAGAGCCCAAGGCAGCTGCCTTCCAGCACCTGCTGCTCCTAGTGGGCCTTCACCTCTTCAAGGTATAGTGGCAGAGAGGGGACCATTTAGGATTCTGGGATTCTGGGGCTTGATGGGGTGTGGGTCCCCTACTGATACACTTGGGGGTCAGGGAAAATTGAGTTGGGTTTCCTGGTCCATCCTGGAATTACAACTCAAGGAAAAATTACCATGTCTACTTCTGGGCACCAGCCAGCATCCCACGCTTTCCCTCCCAGAGTCACCTCTTATGCCCAAAGCTTTCAGGCAGGTACTTGCCATGTTTGATAGGTAGGGAGATAAAGCAAAGCAACCTGGCCCCACACCGCAGGTTTCCCAAGATTCAAAGCACCTCCCAGATGCAATGTGCAGACCAGAAGTGATGAGTGGGGAAGAGAACTGCCTCCCAAGGAAGGAGGCACTCTGTACCCTGGGGCATGTCATTTGGGAGTCGGCTTTCACTCAGTACCTGGGAGATGGAAGCAGGAATGCCAAGAGTTTGAGGCCAACTGGGGGTATAGTGAGACCCTAGCTGAAAATTGAGAGGCAGGCAGTGGTGGTGGCTGCCTCTTTGTGAATCCTCAGTGCAGGTTCCTGGCCCGCCCTGTTGTGTGTCAAACTGTCACATTTGTGTAACTCAGACCTTCCAATAATGGGACCTGAAACCACACTCCCTTTCTGTTCTGTCGGCCTGGGAGCTTTGACTGCATTTGAAGCTCGGCACCAGCAGCGCTTTGCTTCTTGTGTTTCCCCAAAGCCCAGATCCCTGGTTTTTTTCTGAGATTCTTGCTGGAGGTGCCTGAGGCTCTTAGTAGGGCAGCTTCAGTGTCACTGACCTGAGTAACAGGTCCCTCTTTTGTGTGCTTCCTTCTGGCCCTGGGGCTGTGGTTTTTGCTTTCAGTACTAGGCATCAACCCTTCGGTAGCATCAGGGCCCTGGGGACTCTCAGACATCTGAATATTGCCCTGTACCATGGGATCTCTCAGTTTAGCTTTTAGAGGAATCCACAGTTCGGGGTGTGTCAAATCCTTAGAGAAAAGGTGCAGCCCAGAGAAAGATAGCTGCGTGTTCACAGCGATCCGGACACTGACTCCGGGGTATTAGGAGGGGAGAAGCTGCTTTGCAGCTACTACAGATTATAGGTGTTTTCTAGAGCTGCCCTACACACCTCAGTGGTGCCTGGGACGCAGGTTCAGGTCTGCTCATGCCAGGCCAAGTGTGGAACTGAAGGAGGCTGGGCCATCCGGGTTCCGTTCTTGCTGGGGGCTCAGGTCCTGAGAACACATAGGAAGTAGGGAAAGCCATTAACTCTGGGCTGACTCTTCTGCTCTGCCTGGTGAGAGTGAGTGGGCAGAGCAGGCTGGCGGCCAGTGTGTTTGGTGCCTACTAGTGTCCCTTGGCCAGCTCCTTGCCCCAGCAAGGGCAGAAGCAAGGCCCAGCCCCTGATTTATGTCCTGCCCTACCTGCAGTCTCCCACAGAGAGCTGTGACCTCCTAGGGGACATCCAGACCTGCATCAAGAAGAGCATGGGGGAGAAGACCCGCCGCTCCCGCTCCAAGGCCATCAGTGGGTCGTTGTCCCTGGGGCAGGGTGGGAAGGCCATGTCCTTGGGCAGGAAAGGGACCGTGAGCAGGGCCGCCCTGTATAACCAGCAGTACCCTGACCCAGCTCAGCCCTTTCCTGCTTACAGATGCCAAGGAGCCGCCATGGGTGGAAGTGATGGTGGAGATCCTGCTGTCCCTGCTGTCCCAACCCAGCAACCTGATGCGCCAGGTGGCCCGGAGCGTGTTTGGTCACATCTGCTCCCACCTGACGCCACGCGCCCTACAGCTTATCCTGAATGTGAGTTGGGATTTGAAAGAAACATTCTGGGATGGGGCTCCTGGAGCACCCAGTTACACTGGAGATGCCCCATCCTCTCAGCCCTCTCTACAGAGAGACTGAGCAGGAACCCACTTTTACTGCTGCTGGGACAGCCTGTCCCTGGCACCCTGAGGGCTGTTGAGGAAGCTGGCACTCCATTATCTTCCCTGAGATGCAACCTTTGACCAAGATAGCTGGGTCTGGCCAAGGGTGTAAGGAAGGTCGGGGGCATGGGCAGCAGATGGGTCAGCAGCCTGGAATCCTTCCCAGGTGCTGAACCCTGAAGCAAACCAGGATGAGGACGATGCCGTGGTGGTCACCGATGATTCTGATGAGAAGCAGCTGATGGATGCAGAGGTACTGACCAGCAAAGAGCAGAGCTGGGAGGGCCGTGGCTGTGGGCTGTAGTGGTAGCCACGGGGAAATATGACCAATGTCCCTCCCACGCACAGGATGAGAGCTCAGACAGCAAAGATGAGAACTCAGAGAGTGAAGCAGACAGTGAGGGAGAGGAGAGTGAGGAAGAGGAGCGTGATGAGCACGTGGACCCGGGCTTCCGCCAGCAGCTCATGGAAGTGCTGCAGGCCGGGAAGGCACTGGTGAGCAGAAACTAGAAGGGCTGCATGGGTGCATGCATGCGTGCGTGCAAGAGACCAGACTGATGGGCCTGCGTCCCCAGGGTGGCGAGGACAGTGAGGAGGAAGAGCTGAGCGACGAGGCCATGATGGCCCTGGACGAGAGTCTCTCCAGCCTCTTTGCCGAGCAGAAGCTGCGTATCCAGGCCCAGCGGGATGAGAAGAACAAGCTGCAGAAGGAGAAGACACTCCGGCGGGACTTCCAGATTCGGGTGAGCCAGCAGTCCTGTGGCCGGGGCCCCGCCCAGCCCATCTCTGCTCCTGCTCCCCAGCAGGCTGACCTCACTTCTACCCCCAGGTGCTAGACCTCGTTGAGGTGCTGGTGACCAGGCAGCCTGAGAGCCCCCTGGTCCTGGAGCTGCTGGAGCCACTGCTGAACATCATCCAGAGAAGCATGCGCAGCGGCGGCAGCAGCAAGCAGGAGCAGGACCTGCTGCACAAGACAGCCCGTATCTTCATGTGAGTGGGCGGGCGCAACCACAGAGCCCAGGCCAGGCTGGAGCCTGTGCTTGTACACAGTTGCTCCAAAACTGCAGCCTGGAGTTTCCTGTCACTTCATGCCAGCTGTACCGGAGAGCTGGCATCCTTGGGTCCCCAGTCCCATCCCTGCCCTCGAGTCATGACAGTAATCTGACCAATCACCTGGCAATCTCGGCACAGCACACACAGAGCCTTGGTGGGGTTGCGGAAGACACAGCATGCAGGCAGGGACACCTGGTCAGTCCTAGAAGTGGCAGCACAGCAGGGAGCTGTAGAAAAGTAGAGGCCGCAGGCCGTGATGGAGGACCAGGAGCTGGTCACAGGCAGCTGTAGCTGGAGCAGAGGAGCTGGCTGCTAGCATCCAGGGCTCATAACATTTTCAGCTACAGCATGGGAGCATGGGTTAGGGAGGGTCTGGTTTGGGCAAGTCTGAGGGAGGGCTCTTGAGGCTGGGCGCCTGGCAGGGAGGCAGTTACGGCGTCTAAGACAGAAAGATTGTAGTATAGACCTTCCAGACCTGGAGAGCCAAAGGCCTGTGGTCTGGGGTACCAGATGCACAGCAGAGAGGGGTTGGGTACCTTTAACGTGACCCCAGGTCCTGCTCAGGTAGTTCTGCCAGCACCCGGTCACTGTCCAGGTTTTCCAGGGCCCTGCTTCTTATCTCTGTTCTGTCCCCAGCCCTTCGAGATCACAAAGAGCTTTTTTTGTTGTTTGTTTGGGGGCTTGGGCTTTATTTTGGTGTTTCTTTGCTTTTGTGTGTTCTTTTGAGACAAGGTTTTGCTGTGTATTCCAGGCTGGCCGTAAGTTGGCAGCAGTCCTTCTGCCTCAGACCCCCCAAGTGCTGGCATCACAGGCGTGCACTGCCCCCCTGACCTGAGTGGGGTTCTAAGCACACAGAGCCGGTCTCATTTTACAGAGGTCCCAGAGGCCACTGTCCCAGAAGAAATAGATATGGGGGGAGCAGGGTACCTGGCCATGGGGTGAGGCCGGCCCAGGAAATCACTTCCCACTTTGCCTCATGGCCTTGGCAAACGTTGGCCAAGGCCCAGGCCCTCTCCTTCCGAGGGTCTCTTATTCTCCCTGTGTGGCAGGGGTCTTGAGTCCCTCCTTGGGTTGGCCCAGGTTGGCAGAGAGCATTCTGCCCAGTGCTGCCCTCTTCACCCACAGGCACCACCTGTGCCGTTCCCGACACTACTGCCGCGATGTGGGCCACTGCACATCGGCCCTGCATGGCCAGGTGGAGCGGCTGGTACGGCAGGCTGGCCAGCAGGCCGACTCCTCGGTCACCCTCTACTACTTCAATGCCTCCCTCTACCTGCTGCGTGTCTTGAAGGGCAGTGCTAACAAGAAGCACGTGCCAGGGGGCCAGCAGCAGCAGGGCACTGGTGCCAGTGATGTCCCCGAAGACTCAGACTCTCAGGTGAGTGGGGCTCAGTCACTGAGGGCTACAGGAAGAACTGGGCCCAGGCCTCATCCTGTCCCTCCTCATCTGGCCTAGACCACCAACTGCCTGGACTTGGACCTCGTGGCCCCAGTGTACTCAGCAGCACTCAGCTCCTTCCTGACCAAGCGCAACAGCCCCTTCACTGTTCCCATGTTCCTCAGCCTCTTCTCCCGTTACCCGGTAAGCATCCCGCCACCCTGCCCTCTGGCTCCCTTGGCCCATCCAGGCCCTGCCTCATGGCCCCTGTTCTTTTCACCCCTCCCAGACCATCTGTAAGCGTCTGCTCCCCGTCCTGCTGCAGTGCCTGGCCGGCTCATCACGGGCCCGTCAGCAGGTAAGGGCTTCCCCAGGTGCCCCTGCATCTGCTGGCTTATCTACTTCATCCCCTTCCCTGGGGTGTGTGAAGCCCAGGATCCATGCCCTGCTGTGGGATGTGTCATCTGACAGGCAGGATGATGGTGCCGTGGCCCTTCCCCACCACCAGTACAAGGTCTGAGGAGACAGGGCTGGCTTTGCCCCTAGAGCTACCATGGCCTGCGCCCTCCAGCGCCCCTGAGAGCCTTCAGGGCTATTGCAGAACCCAGGACAACAGGCAGCCCCCATGCGCCTCCTAGAGTGGCCATGTTCTTAGCAGGGGTCTGGCGGTCCCTGAGCCTCAGCCTGTAGCACTTCTGTGCATAGTAACTGCATTTTCCCCTCAGACCCAGGCCTGCCTGCTGCTGCAGAAGACCCTTTCTGCACGGGAGTTGAGGGTGTGTTTTGAGGATCCTGAGTGGGAGCCGCTGATTGGCCAGGTTCTGGCGAAGGTCACTGAGGTAAGAGCTCCTTCTTCCCAACTCACTAGAACCCCAGCCTCTCTCTAGAGTGGATGTGAGTGGCCCCAGGGACATGCTTTTCTCTGGGCTTTAGTCTCAAGCTGGGAAACGGGCTTCCCGCAGGGATCCCTTCTGCATGCCTCAGCCTGGCCTCTCCTCCCTAGAACCTGCGTGAGCTCGGGGAAGCGCAGAGCAAGTCAGAGAACCAGAAGCAGCTGACCTCCCTGGAGCTGCTCAACACTCTGCTCAGGATCATCCATCACGAGGTTAGCTGACGGCCGGCAGACCAGAGCCTGGGAAGGGGCGGGCACCCCTCGGGGTCGGGGCAGCAGATTCCAGAACAGTCAGGGCTTTTGAGCCAGGATGGGGAGAAGCAGGACCCGAACGGTGAAGGTCCAGGTGCCGGGTGAGGACTGACCCACCCTACTCGTGTTTGTGTGGTTCCCTTAACCTCTGTGAGATGAGTGTGCGTGCCTTGGGTGCCAGGGTCCCGCCTGTACCTGCCAGAATGGAGTGAGAAGGGACAGGGAGGGCAGGAGACACTGGGAGAAGGTGGGGAGATTCTGGGTTGGTAACAGGAGTCCAGGTGTCCAAATCTAGGGCAAAAGTATAGGGAGCAGCGGTGACAAGTGGCACCCAGTACGGTATGATGTGCTCACAGGACGTCAGGGTAGAGGATGAGGAGGCAGCTGGAAAATACATACATGGATTCCCAGGCCTGGCCAGAAGTCAGTTTGGAGGACTTAGCACAGACAAACCCTGGTCAAATCCCAGGTGGAGGGTGAGGCTGGTCCTTGATCATTGCTGAGGGAAGGGGCAGAGTAGCTGCCCTTGGAGTGGGAAGGAGACTAGAAGAGGTGAGTTGCAGAAATCACCTGCGTGGTCACAGCCAGCAGGGAAGGACTTGGGCAGCCGGAGAGGACTGAGGGACACTCTTAGGAAAGGGCGGTCAGAACTGCAGCAGGAGTGGGGCTGGCAGGAGGTGAGGAAGCAGAACAGCCATTCGCTGGGGAAGGGGGAAGAACGGAGATGGGGGTCTGGTTTCCTCCCAGAAGAGAGGCTAGTGATTGATGGCAGGGGTGGCTGAGGGCCCTGAGCAAGCAAGGGCCCTGGAGAGACCCCACCTCCTACCACCACTGCAGCTTCAGGCTTTGCTTCTTTTGCAGGAGCTGGCTGTGGACCTGACCGCGCTCCTGGGTGTGCTGCAGGGCCAGCAGCAGAGGCTGCGGCAGAGCCTACAGCAGGGCGAGCACTCCATCGGCTCCAGCCGCCTCTATGACCTGTACTGGCAGGCCATGAAGATGCTCGGAGTCCAGTAGGTTCTGGGCAGAAAGGCCCACACCTGGAAGGGGACTGGGAAGGCACCACATGCACCAGGGCTCTGCGTGCCGTGGTGCGCGGGCTTGAGTGTAGGGGCTCTGGGCAGTTTGGGTCCCTAGGAACCCAAGGTGAAGGTAACCCCTGTCCTCACTGAATGCTTCCTTTTCCTGCCCACTTTCTCCTAGGCGCCCCAAGGTGGAGAAGAAAGACACCAAAGAAGTCCCCGGTACCTCTGAGAGCCCCATTAGCACAAAGCGGAAGAAAAAGGGGTTCTTACCCGAGACCAAAAAGCGTAAGAAACGCAAATTGGAGGCTGCTGCACCTGAGGAGGGTGCCAAGCCAGAGGGAGCCACTCCTGTAGCCACTGGTGGCAACCAGCCCCCCAGCACAGGCAAGAAGAAGAGAAGAAGAGCAAAGGCCAAGGGCCTGGCCCAGCCCCAAGTGAACGGGACACCTGCCACCAAGAGCCCAGCCCCTGGCGCCCCCGCCTTGAGCCCCAGCACCCCTGCCAAGACTCCAGAGCTGAAAAAGAAAAGCAAAAGGCTGTCACGGGTGAACGGAGACACCCCTGTGTCCCCCACAGAGCCCTCAGGCAAAGAGCAGCATCAGAAAGTGCTTGCCAAAAAGGGAATCTCAGGCAAGTCCCCACAGTCCACCCTGCCACGGAAGAGGTCCAGGCTGTCTGTGGTCAGGAGCCCCAGCTTGTTCCAGAGCGGAGCCAAGAAAAAGAAGTCGCTGCGGAAGAAGCTGAGAACACCCTGAGTGCTGGTGCCCTGTCCCAGTGCAGCAGCCCTGGAGACTCCTGTGCTTCCTCCTGATTTTAACAAACCAGCCTCAGGACGCAGCTTCCTATTCTGAGCAGGGGTCTGTCCCCGTCCCACCCCAGACACCAGGACCTCATTTAAATAGGTTTATTTCTTCATTTACAAGAGGAATATATTTGGCTTCTCTTTAATATTCTGAGATTCACAATCAGCAGCTCTTAAAAAATAAAGGAGCAGTTTGGCTTCCGGAAGGAAGAGGAGGCAACACTTGGACCTGGTTCTTGTACAACAAGAATACATTGCTGGGGCCCCAGGCGAGGGTAGAATGGAGGCTAGACTGGTCTTTTGGGGGATACCTCCCCTGTGTCCGGTCCGCAGGGCGCCCCAGAGCTCGGTAAGGTGGGTGTTCCACTAGCTAACACGCCCACTGAAGCCACAGCCAGCCAGCAACTAAGGGGCAGAGGGAACAGTGGCCAGCTGGCTCTTGGGTTTCCTACGACCATGATGGCAGCGGATGTGTGGGGATTGTGGGGTGGTGAGCACAAGCTCCTCCAGGGGACCAGTATGCAGGTGACAGCTGTAGCCTGGTGGGTGGCTGCAGCGGGTGGGAGTGTAAATAGGAATGGGATGACCAAAGCTTGCCCAGGATCAGGGAGTCACGGAGCTACGGCAGCAGTGGCCAGGGTGGCATCCTCCCTCTGCCAAGCTCGTCCCCTGGAGCAGGAAGCTGAGGGCACAGCCGCTTCTTCCAGCAGCTAGAGCCCTGGCTATTAACCCTCATGGATTCTGGGGGCGTGGGCCCCTGAAAAAAGCTCAGCCTAACCTGAAGATGGGAGTGGGCTCTGGGCTTCTGCAAAGTCAGCAGAGATGCTCTGAGACCCACAAGGGTCCTTGCAAACACACACTGGCAGCTGGTTCCCAACATCTCAAACCGGGGGTGCAAGCAGTGTGGCTGTCGCCAGGGCCTTCACCCCTGGGGATGCCAGCTCTCTAGAGAAGGAGTCCCAGCCTGGGAAGTTTCTAAATGAAGAGCCAGCCCAAGGCAGCAAAGAGTGTCCCCCAGGGTGACCAGTAGACCAGGAAGCACCAAGTGAAGAGTGCTGCACTCCAGCCAGGTGCCAGCCCAAGTCCAGTGACCCCAAAGTCAGAAGCCCAGCTAAGGGATAGTGGTCCCTGCGCTTTCAAGAGCTTCAGAACCTGAACTGCAGCCCTGAGGGCTGGGCTATCTCGTCCCTGTGTGGTACAGGATCCGCTGGGTCTTCAAACCTGCAGGTGGTGCCTTGCCCAGCACAGTGTGAGAGAAAGTCCAGCTCCCTGGCCCCACAGTGGAGGGTGGGCAGGGACTTGCCCAAGATCATGTAAGCTGGTGGCAGGTGAGGGTCTCCGGATACACCCACTTGGAGGTGCCTTCTCCCTGGGTTCCAGGGGTCCTGCAGCCCAAACCCAGGGGCTCGGCAACCTAGACTCCGGGCTGACAATCCATCCAGCCTGCCCCAGCACACACAGCCTTTCAGGTTAACAGATGTGGCTTCTTCCACGCAAGGCCACTCAGCAGTCCCGGACCAGGAAGGGTGAGTCCCTAGTTGGTCACACAGAAAGCTTTGGGACAGCTCTGCAGGTCTGGGGTACTGTAGAACACTTCCCAGACTGGGTGAGAGCACGGGTTCCTCGTCCCAGCGGCACCTACGGAGAGACAGGTTTTATTTCAGAGTCAGGGCGCTGGAGGGCCTGTCCCAAGGCTTCCCTCACTTCCCTGCTGCCTGGGGAATCAGACTTGCTCTGGGCTCGGGCCACAACGCTGGGCTTGCACTTCTGGGAAGCTGAGGCCTCCAAGGCCAGGCCCTAAGGGAGATCGCAGTACAAGTTGGACCCCGCACCTCTAGGAGGATTTGGGAGGATTGAGTCTGGGCAGAGCGGGGAGTTCCTGGCCCTTCCCAACCTTGACCTCGGCCCTCTGCTCTTCCAAGGAAGCAGGCATCTGATTTACTGGAAGAGGCCACCCCCCCTCACATAGCTTCATCGAATGTCTGGGCAGCATTTCAGGAGTCTGGGTAGGGCGACAGACAGCTGGCCAGGAGTCTGTCTCCCTGTCCCTTAAAACTGCTGTGCCCCCCTGAGCCTGCACTTACCGCCTCAGACCTTCATAGGTGGGCGCGGCAGCACCAGCTGGTTCACCCTGAGGGAGAGACAGGCGGGGGTCAGGGTGGCACGTCAGCGGGGGCCGGGCCCAGGCACGGTTCTGGCACATCGCATCACTGGGGCTGGCTGACCGGAGGTGTTGGGCAGAGACCTCGTCAGCCCCAGGGGGAGGTGGGAGAGCCCAGAGGTGGGAGAGAAGAGAAAGAAGAGTAAAAAGAAAAGGAGAAAGAAGTCAGAAAGTGAGAAGAAAAGGTGAGAAGGTCTCAACCCTGAAAACTCCCCTTACTATAGCTCCAGAGAAAGCACCACGTCCCATACAACGGGCCCCGGCAGCAGCCACTGTGGACTCCACTGTGACAACAGCTCTGAGCTGGGGCTTAGGCACCGTGGGCTGGGCCCTGGTCCCAGCAGAGACATCCACCCTCACCAGGGTGCAGAGGAGGCCACCATAACCCCACACAGCACAGCTGGGCTGTGCAGGGCTGTCACAGACCCTGCTTCCCGGCCACGGCAGCCAGCCCACGCCCTGCCCACTCACTGCTGCTCAGCCTTGGCACGGTCGCTGAGGAAGAAGAGAGCAGTGGCGAGGAAGAACATGCCACCCAGGACCACGACGAAGGGGCAGAGCATGAGGGCGTAGCCCAGGCTCAGGAACTCCCAGAGCGGGGAGTCCTTGGTGCTCTGGCGAATCAGGTCTGAGATCTGGGAGAATGGGAGGTGAGCATCAGGGCAGGGCCACCTCCTGAAGCCCAGGCCACCCCAGGCCAACCAGAGCAGGCACCACCCCCAGCCACTCACAAAGCCGATGAGGTAGGGGCTCCCTGCGTCGCCCAGCAGGTGGGAGGTGAAGCTCTGCAAGGCCACAGCAGTGGCCCGTCGGGTGGGGATGACCACGCACTGCAGGACAGACAGGGAAGTCAGGGGCCCAAAGGGCCAGGCCCACCCTTGCAGCTGTTACACTTCTGAAGACGCCACAACCTCAGCCAAGCTCCTGCCCTGAGGCCTTCACTGCACCCCCAGGGACCCTTTCACCCTCTCACCTCCCATCTGCCCCTCCTGCAGGAAGTGTGATGCCCCCACCCACAGCTTTAGTCACCACTATGCCCAGCCCAGACCCCTCTAACCTCTCCTCCACCCCACCTCAGAAGCAGAGACCTCTGCACATCCAGTCGGGAAGAATAGGGTGAGGGCCCTGGCAGTGGAGGCACAGGCTTAAAGACACAGACTAGTGCACCTTCAGGAGGCTGAACTGCCAGGAATAACTGCTGCCCCTGGCCACCTGCCCCTGAGACAGGCTGCCATCAGCTCCACACTTGGCTCCTGGGAACAGCCAGGTACCATGGCCAGGGGACACTGAGGCCCAGGGAGGCCCATTCCCCAGGCTTACATGGACTGTGCTGCTCTGGAACTGCAAGTCTGGCCTCTTGCCTTCCCACAAGTTAAATACCTCTCTTGGTTCACCCTCCATGAGGACCAAGCAAGGTTGAAGTTGGCCTGGGACCAGGAGCTGGTATAAGGTGGGACCCTGCCCAGAAGAGCCTCATCTGAACAGCTGGGTGCCCCTAGCACCAAATGCCAAGAATTCCTGGGTCCCAGACTCCCCACCTCCTACCCACCCTTAAAGCTGAGCAAGCCCTGAACAACTCCAAGTCAGACAGGAGGGCCTGGGCAGAGCAGCTGAATAGGCAGCACCAGCCGCTGCGGGTCCTGGGCACCCCTGCCCCGGAACTCCAGCCGCTTTCTCTGTCTAGGGCGCCAGCCTCCAGGGACAGTGTGCAGGCAGCAGCCCCGGAGGGCACCCTGTCAGAGATGAGCTGGGAGGAGACCTGGATCTGATGAGGGCGCGTGGCCTCATTTCCAGTGCTAATTAGTTACTTAGCCACGAACGACACTTAATAAACTGGGCCATGATTTCCCTGGGACCCAGCCCCTGCCAGCAGCTGTCAGGGCCGCCCCTGGGTACGAGACAGGGAAGGGCCTGCTGCCCAGTTGCCAAGGGCACTTGATTCAGACAGACTCAGGCTCCTATCCCCGAGGGTTGCTCGGTGACCCAGCCTATGCTGCCTCTACCAGCACTGATCTGAGACCCAGAGGTGACTCACACCACACCACCTAGGTGCCGGCCATGGCTCGGGACAGGGACTGGCAGGGAGAAGCCTGGGATAAGGCAGACTTCCTGAGGCAGAGGGACCAGCAGGGGCCCAGTTCCTGGCAGCCTCTGACCTCGGGGCTGTCCCTTGTGCTCACACCAGCCCTCAACACCCTGAGGATTTTTCCTCCCCTGGCCTGCCCCTCCCACGGCCGGTCCTCTGCACTCTGCGTCCAGTCCTTTCTTGACCCGACCCAGAGGGTCCTCAAGGAGGAAACAAGGAACACACCCATCCCCGCTTTCCCCCCACACTGAGTGCCACAAGCTACTAGGTCCACTGCCCCCTCCTGGCTCCTCCCAGACTGCAATCATCACACGGGACACAAGCCCCTGTCCACTCTTCAGATGGCCCTTTGTCCCTGGCCGGCTGGTCTGCAGCTCATTGTTGGCCCTGTGAAGACTGCCTCTGTCTGGCTGGCCCAGCCACAGGCACCCAGGCAGGCACGCCTGGCACCCAGGCTGAGCCAGGAGGGCAGAGCCCATGGACGCTTGGTCCCCAGGGGGAGGGGTGCTGGCAGGCACCACCACCTCAGTGCCAGCCTGGCACTGCCAGCCTCCCGGCACGAACCTGAGCCTTGAGACAATCCCCTCCCTGCACCACCCCACACCTCACCTCATCTGCCTGCTCAACCTTGGCGCAGACCCCAAAACCTCCCTGCCTCTCGGGCCACCTTCCTGCCAGCCCTCCCTCCCGCCTCCTCACTGGCCCTCCCTTGCTGCTCCTGTGAGGTCAGCACAGGGCACCTCAGCCTGCCTGGCTCACCATGAGGATGTCCGCGGTGATGGCCCAGTTAGAAAACAGCAGCGTCTCCCCAACAAAGATACAGATCTGCCCAGGAGAAGAGAGCAGCCATCAGGGGCCTCTCTCCACCAGCAGCCCCAGCTGCCCCTGCATCCTGGCTGCTGGCAGGGAGCCCCTAAAGCTTCCCACCCCTCCCAAGGGCCCCTCCTTCTGTCAATCAGGCTCATGAGGAGCTAGTGGATTACCGAGAACTCAAGCCACGTCCACAGTCCCCAAGGGCACCCAGAGCCCCGAACAGGTGGTGGATGGAGCAGCGGCAAGCAGCCAAGAGGCAAGAGACACCCCACGAGGACAGAGGGCCCAGCACGTGGGACTTCATTTCCAGCCCAGCTCCCAGCCTCCTTCCCTCCGCCCCCCTCCTCCCCCACCACACTCACATAGGCGCCCACGATGCTGCTCTTGGCCGCCACGAAGATGAGGCAGATGAAGATGGCGGAGCCCAGCATGCCCACGGCACACACAAGTGGGTCGGCCCTCTGGGTCCGCAGGCGGCACCAGCGGGTAGCGCCCGCACCTGTGACCACACCCAGGAAACCCGTGAAGCAGGTGATGGCCCCGAAGATGAGGCTGTGGGGAAAGAGGATGTTGGTGGAGGTTGGGGGAGCCAACAACTGGAGCAGAGGGATTTCCCTAGCCAGGGTCCCTCACCAATCCCCCTGTCCCCACAGCCAGGCTCACCTGTCCTTGGCCCCGCAGGGGGGGCTGTGGCAGGTCTCTGCGGTCTTCTGCACAACTTGAGCTCGGTGCAGGTAGAGTGGGATCCACATGCCCAGGGCCCCTGTGGCGAAGGACACAGCCGACGTGGCCAAGGAGGAGAAGACGTAGCTGCGGCTGGGGAGAGGCCAGGGCAGCGACACTGAGCTGGGCCGAGGACCCGCTTCAGCTGCGACAGACAGCCCACATCAGGAGCTGTTCTTCTCCCTCAGCCTGCTGCCTCCCACGTACCTGACAGGGAGCTGAGGTGCCTCCCCAGAGGCTCTGGGGCGGGTTCAGCCGCAAGCCACAGGCCTGGCCAGCCACGGGCTGAAGTGCCCCCAGGCCCTCTTGCTGGGGCACCCTCCCTCTGCCCAACAGACCCCTCCTAGCACTCACTTCCGGATCAGGGCCTTCATGTCTCGGAGCCACGAGGTCCGAGCCTTGAGCTGTCCCCCAAGCTGGTCAGCGTGGCCTCTCTTAGTGGCTGGGACCAGGATGAGGATGAGTGTCCCTGTGATCATGCCCAAGACGGGGGACACCTGGCAGAGGATGAAGCATGATGTCAGGACACAGACCCCGTCAGCTTTGTCGTTGCTGCACTAGGCAGGGTCAGGCAGGCTGCACCTTCCCTGGGCTTCCCTGGGCTTCCCAGGACCCCTGGCTATTGTCTGTCCAGCCCTCCTGATGGGCACAGCCACTGGGGGTGAGGCCAGTGAGGGACCTAGGGACTCAAAATGGACTCTTCAGACCAGGGTAGAACAGGAAAGAAGGTGCAAGGAAGATTTCCAGACTGCAAGAAAGGAGGGAGGAAATGGATGGCTGCAAGGTACAGGAGGAAAGAGAGGTGGCTGAGCAGAGGGGGAGATACATGGAAAGGCAGCAGGCAGGTAACAGGAAAACGGGTGGGCAGAGGGATAATAAAAAGACAGGTTGATGGACAGACACACAGAACCATGATCCGGAAGGAAGAGAGACTGATGGGGAGACCAGCCTGCCCCATCCGCCGAGGCTGGGGATGTTTCCCAGGTGAGTCCCCTGTGATGCACTGGGAAGGGAATGGCCAGGCGTGAAGCCTCTGGCTCATAAATCAAGTGACTCTGTTTGGGGGGGATTCTGGGGGTCCCTCTGCATCCTCTCTGTGGCCAGCCTCATGGCTCGAAAAGAATCCGCAAGGCCCCAGCCTCTGCACGTGGGAGGGAACCTTCAGACAGCCCAGATTCCAATACCAGCCTTCCACCAGCCCTGTCCCCATCCCCACCCCCAGGCCCAGGAGCCTTGAGCTGGTCCCTCTCCACGCCACCCCTCTCGGTCCCCACCAAGAAATTCCACGGAGGCTGCTTCCTTCCGGCTTTTGAGGAAAAAACACTTTGTGTTAAGCTTCCGCTCTGCTGGGAGACGGAGATCTCTGTTTCCTCCCATTGCACTATCCTGGGGCCTTGGTATCTGTCCCCCAAGCCTCTGGCAGGACAGGAAATGGTTCCAAGGGGCCCCACACAGAGGTCTTGTCCCAGCCTTGCCCTAGCACAGAGCCAGGCTAGAAGCAGGAAACTCTGTCGTGGACCTGGAATTTCCTGACACGGAGAGAGAAAGCTTCATCCTCTCAACCTGAGCCTCCCAAGAGAGGGTCCAAGCCTTGGACTGAAGCCCGTAGGACTCTGCCTCCCCTGACAGCTCGGTGTACATTAACCCAGGTCAAGACTTCAGAGCCCAGGCTAGTGAGGGGAACCCCTGGAGGCCAAGGCTGGGGCCCTAGCATCTCTAGTATCCCCGGGGAAGGGCTGGACTGAGCATAACCTCCTGGGAGGGGAACTAGGCCTTACCCGAAGGGCCCAGTGCCAATCCCCAGCCGCCTGCTTCACGCTGGAGCCAGTGATGTAGCCCAGGCCACTGCAGAGAAGACAAAACACGCCAGGCTGAGCGGAGACGAGGCAGGGCAGGAAAGGCTTGGTGTATGAGGCAGGCTGTGCGTCTCACCACTCAGTCAGCTGGTCAGGCTGCCCCGAGGCTGACCGCATACATGTGCGGCTAAGGAAAGGCTCTGAAGTCCTGTGGGGCCCCAGCCCGGATCCTGCCCCAACCCTGGCATCTCTGCTCTCACCTGCCCAGTGGGATGGCAAAGTAGAAGACAGACAGCATGAGCGTGCGCGTGTTTTTGGTGAACAGGTCGCCGATGATGGTGGGCGCGATGGTGGAGTAGCTGGCCTCGCCGATGCCTACCAGACCCCGGGACAGGACCAGCAGCCAGAAGTACTGCAGGAGGGCAGAAGGCGCTGACACTGTGCACTCCTCAGCCCGCAGGCCTTGCCCCCTTCTGCCCCAGCCCTGCAGGGTCCAGCAGCCAGGGAAGGGCTGGCACCCAGCTCCCGCCTCAGTATGACCACATCCCCAGGGCAGCGGGGCCTCAGTGCGCCCCTGTGTATGCAGTTCTGATTGGGACTGGCCTTTCCCGTGGCGACAGGCTTCTTCATCCCTGTGAGCTGTGCCTTCGCCTAGGAGAGTTCCTCCCTGGTCCTGGCCACCAGTCACCCCTCCCCCAAGCCTCTCCCTAGGCAGGGTACTGGGCCAACCCTGGCGCACTGAGGGCCCAGTGTGAGTGGGGAGTGGGCAGGGCAGCCCACTGGGCTCACGTCCCTCCCACACACACATCAAAGCAAGCAAGGAAGGGTGGGGCCCTGCCAGCTGCTGGTGGTCCTGCCGCTTTGATGCAGACCTGCCCTCCCCATCAGCTGCCCAAGGCCTGAGAACCCAGCCTGGTCATCGTTCCCTGCCCCGCCCTGGCCACCCATCCGGCCAGCACTGCCCACATCCAGCCCTCCCTCAGGCAGGGTCTCCCCAGGTCCCTCTCCAACTGCCTACTGGCCCCAAGCTGCTGCTGGCCCTGCACCTGCCCCTTTTCTCTCCCTCAGCTCCTTGCTTGCGTCTGTTCCTGGGGGTCACCTGACCACAGCCTTGGCCTGCTTCTCTCTTGGGTTGCTGTCTTTCCCTGCACTGATGTGTACTGGCTTTTCCTACACCACTGGGCTTGACCCTTCATCCTGTGTCGCCAGTGTTTCCAGTCATCATTCTTTCCACTTTGTTCAGGGCAAGCATCGCCATCTCCAGCTTCCTGAGGTTCTCTCTCCTTTGTTTCAAAAGCCTGTTGAGTTTTCCTTAACATCTGCCTAGGAAGGCCTCTTCTTTCCTCAAAGCATAGAACAGCCTCTTCTATTTTGTATTCGTTATATTTTAGAGAGGCTGGGATGAGTGAGGCCCACCCCTCCCAGCACCCCAGCAGGCAGCGGGGACCCCGAGTGCCCCGGCCTCACCCCTCGAGCCGCTGGACTGCGAGCCTGCCGTGAAGCCACCTCTGCCTTGCTGCACACCTTGGTACCAATAAACAGACTGAGTGTCCTCTGTGTGCTTGCAATAAATAAATCTAAAAGGGACCACTGCATGCCTTTTATTCTGCCACACGGCTCCCCTCATTCTCCTCTCTTTTGCAGCCCATTTATCTGGCCACTTTAAATCCAGCTCATTTTTCTGCTGTCCAGAACTGCAGTTTGAATATGCCCATTTATCTGTGCAGGCTCAGTGGTGGTCACTGGTATTCTTTCTCCTTTTCTCTTTTCCTTTTTCCCCAATGCTTTCACACCGAGCTACATTCCAGCTCTTTCTGCCTGTCTTGTGTTTGTGTTTTTTGAGACAAGGTTTCCCTAAGTTACTAAGCTAGCCGGCTGGGCTCAGATTTACCTTCCTCCTGCCTTGGCCTCCTGTGGTGCTGGGGTCACAGATGGGCACCCCATGCCTGACTTACTGTTTGGTTTTGAGGTAGGGTCTCACTGTATTGCCCATGCTGATCACAAACTGATGAGGTCGGGCGGTGCTCCCACCTGCATCCCAGAGCAGCTGGAACTGTAGCTGCCTGCACCACTGTGCGCTGGGGAGGAGCCTGGATTCCCCAGAGCTGCAACCTGCAACCACACTTGGTACTGTCAGCCTTTCCAATTGTTGCCAATCTGAGGGGTGTGAAGTGATGTCTCATTGTTGTTTTAATTTGTATTTCCTTGATTACTCAGGAGGCTGAGCCATCTCGTTCTAAGTTTATTGGCCACTGGGGTGTCTGCTCCTGGAACAGCCTGTAAGTACCCTTTGCCAGTTTTTCTACTGGGTTATTTGTCTTCTTCTTATTGACTTACAGTTCCAGATTTTTAGAGCTTGTTTTGTCTGGAATTTGCTTTACAGTATGGCTTGAAATACAGACCAGACTTTTTTTTCTGGCAGGGGGGGTGCGGGGGGAGGATTGAGACAGAGTCTCATTAAGTAGTTCAGGCTGGCTTTGAACTCACTATGTAGCCGAAACTGACCTCAAACTCACAGCGATCTTTCTGCCTCAGCCTCCCAAGGGCTGAGATTGTAGATGTATATGGTCAGTTCTTCCCAAACCACTGATCTAAGAAGTAATTTCATCCTGCACTCAGGCTCCAGAGACACAAAGATGTGATTTCATTGATCTCTTCATTGATTCCTCAACTGTTTTAGTTAGAAGAATCCCATTTCAGTTTGGGGGTTTTGTTTGATCATTTATTTCTGAGTTTTGTTTGTTTGCAGTACTCAGGGTCTTCACACGGAGCTCCATCCCCAGCTCTTTTTTATTTTGGGATGGGGTCTCACTAAAACACTGATTGCCTAGGCTAGGATTGAACTTGCAATCCTCCTGGCTCAGCCTCCCAGAGTGGTGGAATTACAAGCATGCACCACAGCACCTGGCTCAGTGGCTGTGATGAAATACCCAAGAGGGTGGATCCCCTTCCTCTGTCATTTTCTGCATTGTTTTTGGCTGTCCATGGGCGTTTTCTTGGCCAAATTCAGAATCACACTGCCAAGGTCCACAGAAACCCCCCTGGAACACGTGTGCATTTGCAGTGACTTTACAGATGACTATGTTTGGGAGCAATCTGTTGTTCTCTCTGCCTCTCCCCAGCTCGGAGTGGGGGTCAAGGCCCAGGGCAGGAAGAGGCCAAGAAGAGGCCCTAGAAGTTCCCATTTTCTACTGAAGCCTCCACACTCTGTCTGGCCCTGGCCCTGCGGGTCCTCCTGCATGAACCTGCAAACCTCTCCAACCTTGGTCCTGCCCTCCCTTCCACCAACAGGACTCTGATCCATGCTTGTCCTTCTTCAGACTCTGTTAGGGCTCCTCACTGCCCCCAAGACCTGGCTCTCAAGGCTCTGTATAGTCCAGTCCCTGCCTTCCCTTCTGGTCAAGACACTGCCTCCTCCTCCTCCTCCTCCTCCCATGCACTCTGCCATTCTGCACATTTGGGTGCACCCTCTGCCTGTGCCACCTTCTCTGAAAAGCTCGCTTCCCAGTCCTGCTCCCTGGCTCACATCCACTCCAGGGAGTCTTCGCTGACCCCATGGGTTTCAAGTGACTGCTCTTTCTACAGGGAGGATTCCACACTTCGTGAGTCTTAAAGGCTCCAGGCTGGGAGCTCCTGCCCAGTCTTCCCATCCAGGATCCCAAGGACCGGCAGGACTGAGTTCGCCTCCTTCCTCCACCCTCTAATTGAATACTGCTAGCAATGGGAAGCTCATTACCCACTCAAGCAACAGAATTCCTCTTTGGAAGAAAGAAGAGGAATCAAAATTTCTTCAATACCTGCCATGTTCCAGGGTCTGGACGTTCATTGTTCAATTGTTTCTCACGAGAAACCTTCAAGCTGAGACACATTAGCCCCACTTTAACAATGGGGAGACTGAGGCTCAGAGAGACTAGGTGCATTTCTCTAAATCACAGAGATGAGTGATATTCAAAGCTAGGGCTTTAAGAGCCATGTGAGAAATGTTTTTCTGTAGAACTGATGCCCGCCTCCTGGACTTAGACCAGGGGCATTAGTTACTCATCAAAGAGTCCAGTGAACAAGAGAGGGCTAGGGGCCCACTGAGGTCCACCCAGTAGGACAGTGCAGGGCCAGGACTAGAAGTCAAGGTCCTCACTCCTGGGCCAGACTTGCACCTGTCCAAGTCAGGGGGCAAGACAGAGTGAGGGTGCCACCCAGGGCTGTAGGGCCCCAATAAATGGCGGCATGGAGAAGATCCTTCCAGTAGGGATCGGTTACAGAAGCACCCGAGGGCACCATCAGTGTCCGGCACTGGGAGGGCACTGCCAGGGTCCCAAGCTAAGAGAAACACAGGTGAGCCACCTCCTGGGGGCCAGGACATGGGGACAGGAAGAGCAGGGACCCAGGTGGTAGTGGGCAGGCCTCACCTGCTGGGGGATGAAGGAGCTGGAGAAGGTGACTGCCGACCAGAAGAAGATGCCGCAGCTGAGGATCACCTTCCTGTTGAAGCGGTCCCCCAGGTAGCCGAAGATGGGGGCCGCCACCATGAAGCTGCAGATGAAGACTGCAGGGAGAGGAAAGCTGCAGGGTCGGCTGGGGACGCATACAGCCCAGGCCTGAGGAACCTCAGCCCAGCCGGGGACCGAGGAAGCAGCCAGGGACAAGCATCCTCAGCCAGGCCAGTGCAGGGCAGGAGGCCGAGGCCTCTGGGTTAGGGTGATCCCACGGCTTCACCTCCCCATGCTCGCCCCACTTGTCCATACTGGGGGCTCCCTCGAATATGCTCTATGTGGTCACCACAGCACAGCACTGCTGTAGCTGCCCAGCCCACTGCCCACTTCACAGAGAACAGATTTAGAGAGGGGGGTACTTCCTGATACCCCACAGGCAATCAGCACCCCAATGGGAATCTGACCCCTTGTCGGTCTGAGCCCATAGCCCCTCTGACTTTTGCACATCAGTCTCTTTATTATACATGGGAAAGAGGCTCAGAGAGGGCAAGGAATCTGCCGAAGGTCACAGAGTAAATCAGGGCAGGACAAGGCCTGAAACCCCAGGTCTCACTGCCTGCCAGGGCACAGGGGCTCCCTTGCTCTCAGGGCCAGAGGCTTGCCTGACAGCTGACAGTTCACTCAGATGCCCATCCACCGAGTCTTTTTTTTTCCTGTCACTTCCAATGTACCATGCAGTGTGTTAGGGTGAGGGGCACACCAGTAAATGAGACAGACTGAAGGCCTGGCCCTTCTAGTGAGCACACCAGACTGTAAGTGTGCAAAATAGTGCATCAGGTAATGACAGGTGCAAAGAAAGGCGAAAGAACAGAAAGAGGAGATAAGAAATATGCAGTACTTGAGTATAAGAGAGACAGGGCAAGGGTTGAAGCTTATAAAAACACAGGAGGCCAGAGAAGGTGATGTTTTACAAAGACTTGTGAGAAGTGAAATAAAAAGCCAAGCAAACAGTGAGGCAAGAACAGCAAGTGCAAAGGTCCTGAGGGCAGCAGCATCCTCAGCAGGTTCCCGAATAGCCAAGAGGCCAGAGTAGCTGGAGCACAGGGATGGAGAGGGAAGAGGCAGCAGACATGGAAGAGGGCCCACTGTGCCCAGTGTGCTTCCGTGATAAAGAAGGAAAACACTAAAGGATGCTAATGACAGGAGGGACATGACTTGATTCTGTTCTTCCAGAACTACTGCTTTTCTTTCCAGAGCAGAAAAGCAGTAGTCTTAGAAGACTTCGTGGGAAGGGAGGAAAGGGGACTTGGAGGTTGCAGCTGGGATGAGGGGCAGGGAAGACTCTGAGTCACACAGCAAAGCAGCCCCCTCCTCCCACGGAAGCCAGTCCCACAGCAGATGGGCAGACGGCCGGACACAGGCAAGGAGCTGGCTGGCCTCTGACCGCCAGGTCCGGGTGTGTGCATGGCTGCTCCCCAACAACCCTGAATTCCTGGGTGAGATGAGCCAAAGAGAAGGGCAAAGAGGCAGGGGAGCAGGGGAGGACAGGAGGCTGAAAGCAGGGTCCCTAGATGAGGCAGTTAGAGCGTGTGACTGCTTCTCTCTATCCAGGCGAGAGCAGGACAGGGAGGGGGCTGGGCGGGTGGGGGGACCTGCTAACCTAATTCTGTATGATCTGGGGACTTGGGCAGAATCAGCACAGAGGTAGGGCACCAGTGCCCCACCGTCAGGCCACAAATCTACCTCTGCACCTTCCTAGATGGACACCCATGCCCAGGGCACAGCCTCTCTGTCCCTGCTTCAGGGGCAGGCTGGTAACGTTCTCTGAAAAGCAGGCAGAGTGTTCGCTGATCTGCGAGGTGCAAACCCTCCTGCAGTGACAGATGTCTACTGTTCAGACAAAATAATGCGATCAACCTTGGGGACGCAGGCAATAGCCACGCACAGTAAAATAATTAAGAAGCAGTGACTTTTGAGTAGGTAGGTATTAGCCCTTTAAATATGAATTACTTAATTGTAAGTTTATGTAATTTCGTGTTTCACAATGGCTCTATCTAACAAGCAGCTCACACAATTCCTGAAAATTTAACAATTGACTCTCCTGAGCTGGCATCAGCCAGCTCCAGAATGCCAACTTCCTCGTCTGTAAAACAGAGATAAAAATAGCAGCTCCCTGGGGCCACAGGTGAGCTCCATGGTGCAGAGCCTGCCTAGCAAGCTCAGGCCCTGAGTTCAAACACCCCCGCCCCGGCACTGCAAATGCGAAGCAAAAATAGCACCTCCCCTGGGCTACCGACACTGGATGAGCCAAGGTGGGGAAGGTGCTTCGGACCGCCTTCCTGCGGCTGGGCCCACTCCACGCTGCAGCTGCGCCCTTGTTTACTTTAGCCAAGGCAGAGATTATTGCCTCACATCAACAGAAAGAATGTTTTCCTGCTGGACTTGCCTCCCAGGACCTGCCCAGAGCAGAGGAGATGTGGGCAGGAGGGGGCTTCAGTCACATCTGAACTCACATGTGTCGGGGGAAGAGGACAACTGCTTTCCGTGTACCTGTGTGTGCTAGGCAGGGAGTGGACAGACGCAGCGGAGGAGATGCTGCTCCCTGTCTGGCAGGGGGCCGAGCACATCCATGGGTGGCCCAGCTTAAAATGCTCAAATGCTGGGGGATAAGCAGGGAGCACCCAAACCTGCTGGATAGTGAAGAAGGGTTTTGTGGAGATAGTAATGTCAAAGTTGGGCATTGAAGCATGCGCAGGAGTTTATCATACTACTTCATATCAATTAATAACATGGAAATCCAGAATCATATAAGCAGTACTATATAATGGTTAATGAGGTTTAATGCTTTATACTTCAATTACCATTTATAAAGTACTTACAAAGGCAAGGCCCAGAGAATCCCCCTGACACATGCACTGATTATCTCTTAATAATGATTCTCACTATGATCTTCATCATACGAGGGGAACAGCAGTGGCTGAATGAAGTGAGCGTGGAGCTGGCTGGAATTTAAACGCTGACTGTCTGAGGCCTGCGTCTGTGCTCTAGATCACGCCAGACTGCCAGGCTGGGCAGCAAGAGGTCCCCAGTATGCTGGGACAGCACGGAAGGGGGTCCGGCTGCAGTGTGAGGAGACCATGGAAGAAACAGAGGGAGATGAGGCCATGGAGGGAGACAGACCCTCACAGCCCCCAGGCCCAGAGCTGCACCATGGCCTGCTCTCTCTGACAACAGGAAGCACTCAGAAAAGCATGCTAGGGACATAAAGAGGATTGGAGACAAGCGACCCAGGCACGGGCAGCCCTGCTGTCCAGCTCCAGCACCACCCCTCACCGCTGCCCCAGGTCTCCTGGCCTCCTGCTTGCACATGCTGTGCCAGTCCAGCATGACCCAGGCTCACTGAGTCCCCCAACTCTGTACCTATTTTATAGCTGGGGAAATAGAGGCCTGAGAAGCAGCAGAATGTGCTCCAGGTGACCTAGCTCAGGCAGAGACCTAGACCCCTGTACGGCCCTCAGTGCCTTCTCCTTGGAGACAAGGAATCCAAGGTTGAGAGGGAGATAGATTGCATCTTGCAATCTTATCCTCTACTCCCTGCTCAGGGCAGGCAGCAGGGAGGACCCTGCCAGGCCCTCAGGGGTCTCTTCCACAGGCCAGCAAAGGGGCCTAGACACAGTCAGACAGAAAAAGGAGGGAGGGTAGCTTCTGGTAGGAGGAGGAACTCCAGCAAAGGCCTGCACATGGGACCATGTCTAATGGGGACACCGAGGCCCAGCCAGCGAGCAACCAGCTCCACAGGCAGTGAAGACTAGCCCAAGCTAGAAGCTTCCCCTGTCCACCATCCCAACCCCATGATCTTTGTTGTCTAAGAACAGATTTCTGCCAGACTGGTCGTTCTGCCTGGATTTTAGTAGGGGTGGCTTTCCCAGAAGTTCTCGCACGCACGAGGACATCCTGTGGCTGGGGTGTGGGGAAGCCCTCGCTCAGCTCACGTGTGCTGAGCCCACAGGTCTAGGACAATGGAGCTGTGGGGCAAGGAGCCAGGATGGGGACATGGAGAGGAGGGGCCACAGACAAAGTGGGCAGGGTTGGAACAGCCCAACCGTGGCAGTGGAACAAAGGCACCAAGCCTCACTCCCTCCCCCCTGTGGGGCAGGCTCAAGGTCATCAGAAGGACAGGAGATGGATGACAAGCCTGAGGTGTTGTCTAACCCTTGTGGTGGTCCCAGAGTTCAGGTGCTGGCAGCAGCCAGAAGCCCCAGGCAACCCCACCAGGGACTCTGTGTCCCGATTGGGCAGCCCAGTGCCTCCAGCCTGCCACCCTCAGCACACAGGGCCTGTCTGACCCTGGTCCTGGAGCAGGAAGGACAGGTCAGCGCAAGGGAAGCCCTAGGCTCCACGCTGCACCTTGGAGCTTGCATTCTGCCCCTGCCTCGGGGTTGGGCTGGGCTGAAGCAGGACTGTGTTTATGAAGTCCAGGCTCCAACTGACCTGTTATTTAGGGAAGACTCGCCATTGTCCACTCCTATAGACAGGGAGGATGTTCGGGCAGGTATGGGGCAGGCAGGGCCTGGCTCTGCCATCCAGGGGACAGTGCAGCCAGCCCTGCTGATGGGAAGGACCAGGACCGAGGGCCCTGTCAATGCCCAGAAGCCCACCATGCTCAGGTAGCGTGGGGATCACTTTCCTGGACACCCTGCTCAGCTGTAGCCCTGCAAAGGCTCCTCCAGTTCAGGATGAGTAAGGTTCTCGGGCCTCCTTCTGAGCAGGCACCTGGGAGGACGGTCACAGGAAACCTAAGTCTGCCCGAAGTAAGGGTGTCACCAACCTGGCCAAGGGGAGAGGGAAGGCTGAAGGACAGCCCAGCACAGAGCCGCTGTCTGGTTTCAGTCTGAGCTGGCTCTTCCTCCATCCCCACTCTGCCCTACTCCCCCACTCCAATCCTGGCACTTCCTGGTGCCAAGCCCCAGCCCTGAGCAGCCTCCAGCCTCCAGCACTGGACTACAGAGAGGACATCATGGCACATGCATCTTGCATGCACTGGCCCTGCTCTAAAACTTTCTCTGGCAGGGTCTGGGGATTTAGCTCAGTGGCGTAAGTGCCTGCCTTGCAAGCAGGCAGTCGTGAGTTCGATCCGGTAAAAACAAAAAAGACAAAAAAAAAAAAAAAAAAAAAACAACCCTTCTCTGGCTCCCGCTGCCCTAAGACCTTAACTCCACCTCCAGTCAGCCCTGCCCTGGTCCTGGCTCCTGGTTAGTTTACTTGAGGGCCCTCAGATCTGCCTGCGAATTTGCTTATTTTCTGTTCAGCTGGATCTACTTATTTTATTTTTTATTTTCCTAGTTCCATTTTTCACTGCCAGAATTTTTGAGTTGAGGTCTTTTTTACATCTCCCTGTTCTCCTCCCCCCCCCCCCCCATGCACCATTCTTATCCTTTGAGCTTGGCAAGTTAAGCATTCTGATGTTGAAGTCCCTTAGCACAAGTCTCTATGGGGCTGAGGCGGAAGGAAGCTCCGCAGTAGAGCGGAGTCCTCGGTCCACGGCTCTTCAGCCCATGCTGGGAACCAGCAGATGCATTTTACAAAGATACATTTTCTATGTGTTCTGTTAATTCTGAATTTGTGTTTGTCTCCAGAGAAAACTGTCCCTGGCATCCATGCGGGCTCTGGCTCATGCAACTTCCCACGGAGCATTTTGGGGTTCCCTTCTGCTGGGATGCCATGGAATGCCCTGTCTCTGCAAGGAAAGGAGTGGAGGCCTGGCCTGTGAGGAGGAGCAGGGTCCAGGGCTGAGTTCTCTGCGTAAGCCAGGTTCACAAAGGAGCCACCAGCCACACAACAAAGCACCACAAACCCACCGCCAGCCTGGGCATCACCTGGGACTAGAGAGCGTGCCTGGACTCTAGGGGGAGTTTCTTTTTTTTTACCGGTACCAGGGATCGAACTCATGACCACAGGCTTGCAAGGCAGGTGCTTATGCCGCTGAGCTAAATCCCCAGCCCTCTGGGGGGAGTTTCAATCTGGGACCCCGCCAGGTTCTGCCCAGTCCTCAGAGTGCAGGGGCGCTCAGCCTGGAACTTGGGCCAGGCTGGAGAGACTCTGATGAGGCAGGTAATAAACACATGGGAGTACCTCTCTCTACTTTTATGAATGTTTGAAACTTTCCGTGAAAAAGTGCTAATATTAAGGACACTGAACAGGTTTCTGAGACAGATTTCACCCCTGAATCCTCGGCATCATCCGGCCTTGATTCCCACTCTCACTCCAGTTTCTGAGGACTGCACTCTGCTTCTGGCACCTGGGAATTTCCCTGCTGCTGTAGCTTTCGAGCTCTGCTGTGTAATTTAAACATGTTTGCCTCACATATTTTTCTAACTTGGAGAGGGGGAAATGTTTCCTCATAACTAGTGAATCTGACATACTGACCAGAAGCCCTTTTCTCCTGAACGAATTCTAACTTGTTCTTCAAAACTCCATTCAACTCTCCCCTCTTCGGGGAAGGCTTCACCTACCTCAGGCCATCGTTGGATGCACACCCTATGCCCTCCACCTGCCAGCCTCCCACCCTCATCCCCACTCAGTGCCTGAGTGCTGACCAGATGGTCCATTTTCTGTTCCGATAGATGGAGGTGTTGTATCTGATGACGGGCTGAGCCTAGCACAGGGGCTGCAGTGCGCCAGGCTCAGTGGCCACCCACCCTTTCGACATGGGCTGTGCAGGTTCCAAATGTGGCCAAACCCATGAGCTGTGGCTTTGCTGTGAGCTGTCACAGGCTGAGCTGTGGCTCCTTCGGGCAAGCCAGGTAGGTGCTGAAGTGTGCCTTTCCCATGCCAATTATGCTCTGGTCCCAAGGCAGGCCCAAGTCTGGCCCTCAGGTGCTCCCCATCCTGTCGCCTGGCCCCACAGCCCCTGGTGCCCACAAATAAGCAGGAAGCCTGCTCTCACCTTGGCCCTTTGATCTGGGCAAGCACCAACACCCGGCTGGCGCCCTCCACCCAGATCCGACCTTATCACGGCTGGGGAAGAGACGGGGGCCTGGGGGCCTGGCCAATTAGGTGACTTGCCTCGTTGCCCACTGAGTCACATCCTGGTCTAGCTGGACTGGCTTCTCAGCTGAGATGACTGAAGGGGTCAGGACACTGGGAGAGATGCCCCAGCCGTGCCAGAGGTGGGTGGTAGGGTAAAGATCATGGGCTCAAAGGACTCATGAGACTGCAAATTCTGGGGATTCTCACCATGTCCCAGAAACATCCCCCAGGGACATAGAGATACCAAACATGCAACCCCCACCTGCCCCCCAGCAGAGGCCCCTTCTGGGTTCCTATCTCAAGCTGATCCTCTTTCACTGTGAGGCCTTAAGCAAGATGCTTGCCTCTCTGAACCTCTCTCTCCCATCTGACCAGTGGAGCCAGCAAAGGAGCCTGTAGTGTCCCTGAGAGAGGAGCCTGGGATGTCCGTGGGTGAATTTCCCACTCCTAGCCAGCTCACCTGGGATAAGTATGGACTCTGACTCCTTTCTCTCTCAAGCTGAGAAGTCATCCTGGAACACAACTGCAGAAGGGACAGGAGTACTGACCCTCGCACCTGCCTGAGGATCAGTGGCCCATGCTTTCCATGTGTGTGGCCCTGACTATGTGCTGGGAGGGTTGGATGGAGGAGGCTTAGGGTACAGCCCCCCTCTAGATCAAACGGCAAGGCCTGGGCCAGAGGGAATGAGACTTAGGCCAGGCCAGCTCTCCAGTGATTCAGGGGCCCTACAGGGTGGGAGGTGGGCAGCTCTGCCCTCACCAGCTTGGCAACCTGCTGCCTCCCACACTCCCATCTGGCCAGGACCCCACCTTCCCAGTATGCACTGATCACTGGTGATGCAGGCAGGCTGACTTACTCTAGCCCAGCCAGGGAGGCCCAGGAAGAGGCGGAGGAGGGGTTTAGGCTCATGGACTGGGCAGTGGTGATATTGACAGCGCAAGACCGGCAACCCAGGGGACACTGGACCGTACATCCTTGCCCTACCCTTGTAAGTCTCACTCATCTGGACTGAGCCCTCGAGCTGTCACGTCCTCAGTCTCTGAGCCAAAAAGACCCCACCAGGGATCTAAAGACAAGTGGCCAGAGGAGTGGCTCTGGCATTCTCAGAGCTCAAGAAGGCTTGTGCATATCGGAATGCCACCTGAACAGGTCAAGCAAGTTCTTGGACCCAGCGGCTCCTCCACCCCGCCCTCCCAGGACAGCTGGGGAAGGGAAAGGGGTCCACAGTCTGTAATGAAGACCACGGCTTTTCTCCCATGCAGTGAACTGGGCCTCATAGCCAGAGGAACTCCAGGGCCAAAAGCCCAGGGACAGGCAGCACCAGGCTGGAGTCCAGCAGCAAGGCTGGAGCCAAGTCAAGACCAGACTTCCTGCCCCGGCCCTGGGGGATGGCACTGGCTGGAGGCTCCACCCCGACCTGAGAGTCCGTGCCAAGGGCAGCCAGCTTGGCAACAGCCAGCGCCAAGGCCAGGGAGGCACAAGCACCAGGCTCTGAGGCCGTAGAGTGGTGGGGCAGGGACAAGGGGTCATGGCTTCTCTCCAGAGAGAGGTTGACAAGCTGGGCCACCTGCTCCACGGCCTCCCACATGGCCCCTGCTCAGTGCACAGCAGCCCAGTGAGACTTGGGGCTGGGATCCAGGGAAAAGGGGGTCTGAGTCCCAGGCCCTCACTTTGTCATCTGAGAGTGATTCCTAGGACCGGTAGCCATGAGAGGAGTGAAGGGTGGGGCGTAAGGGGAGCACGGTCTCTGAGGCTCTGTGGGCACCACCCAACTTACTGATGGAAGGAGCTCCCTTCACCAAGTTCAAGGAGGAATGCACATCATTGGGTGCCCATGAGGTCCCAGGGCCCAAAGCAGGGTGTCTTCAGTGGGTGGGGCCCTTTGCTGTCTCCCATAGCCCATTTTAGGGCAGCTGGCATATGTTTTGTGAAGGCTCAGGAAAGTCTCATTTGGGGGCATGGTGCAAAGCCCTGGTTCATTCCAGGAGCGAGGACTGGGGAGAGAGACATAGGGGGAAAGACAGGAGGACTGAGGAACCAGCACCCAAGCAAGCGGCCGAGAGGAGAGGTGACCCTCACCTGACTGCAGCAAGCCCGCTCCTCGGTCCTTGACCCCAAAGTGCTGCTGGATGTCCAGAAGGACGCCTGCAGGGGAGACACAGAGTGCTTACTGGTGATGGCTGGCATCTCAGTGCCCATCGCTCCACTCCCCCCAGTCTGTGCCCAGTCACAGCCCAGTCCTTCCCACCTTGTAGAGCCCAGTCCTTCCCACCTGCTGTGCTGTAACCCCTGCCCTACCCAGGGGGCCAGCCCACTTTATAAAGGCTGAGCTTCTCTCCTACCCGCACTGGGGCAGGGACAGCATCCCACCCCTCAGCCACTGCAGTGGCCTGAGGAACTGAGATGGACAGGGCTTCCTGTGCTTATTTTGGGGGCAGCAGTCCATCTTCCCATCATGTCACTGTGTGGCCCAACACTGGATCACATCCTGGGTCAGAAGCAATGGGGACAACCCTGCCCTCAGAGGCCACAAAGCCTCCAGCCTAGAGAGCCATGGGCAGCCACTAAAAGCTACAGGGTGGCCCTTGGGCTGGGGAGACAGTGGGAACAACCCATAGCAACACTCACAAGGCTCCCTGCACCTGTGCACAAGCACACACCTGCACACACACACATATACACACACACAAACTCGCTCTAGCTTACAACCAGCACTGCCAGTCTGCAGAATTAGGAGCCGGGGTAGACAGAAAAGCAGGCGGGCTCCAGGGCTCCTTTTCTTAGGCAAGGGGAGTTCCTGTCCCCAGACCTGGCTGCTTCTGCTCTCCCCTGGAGCCTGCCCGGCAAGGGGGCAACTGGAATACCTAGACCACCCCAGCTACCAACAGACAGAGCCGGGGCTATCTGGGAGCCCAGCAGGGTCCTGGACCCCTTCCACCTCCTGTAACCAGGCCCCTGAGTCCGTGCACACCACAGCCCCCAGAGGCCCCAGTTTGGCTTATCTCTGAGAACAGCAGGACAGGCCACGGCCCCCTCCCTTACAACTGCACTGGGAAGCGGCAAGGGAAGAAGGAGGGAGAAACACGGCAGGCGGCCGCTGGGGGACTCCCAGTGCTCCTCGTGATGATGAGGACAACAGCAGCATTGCTAGGTGTCAAATTTCTTGTTTAATGCCACCCAGCTCAATGAGGCTGCTGTATCCCGCTCAACAGGCGAGGAAACTGAGGTGTAGAAAGTTAAGCCACGGGCAGAGTCACACAAGAGGGAAAGGGAAGAAAGCAGGTTTCCGAGCATTGTCTGAGAGTCTGGTCAGGTGGTTGGGGGAGCCCCCGAGGTATGGTGAGATGGAATATCACTGTCCCTCTCCAAACCCAATGAGGCTGGGGTGCTGAGCAGTTTCCTGGGCTGCAGGGTGCGCATCAGCTAGTGCCCTAATGGCCTAAGGTCCCAAGGACACCAGCGTTCTCCCTGTGAATGCCCAGTGTGTCGCCCTGATTACCATAGCAGAGGCTGGGGGAGCATCTTAATCACTAAGGCTGATGGGGCAATGGTCTTGGCCTCTGATGTGGAAGCCAGAGCCCAGTCCTGGGCTTGAGGATGGCAGGGCCACCAAGTGGGACCCCCCAGTTTCCCCAACCCAGCCTCAGGAGTCCAGAGGCCCACTGGGACCTGTGGGCAGCTGTCTACACTCATCTCCTAGCCACAAAGCCCCTTGCCTCTCCTGAGCCAGGGCCTCAGATGCCCACATCTTCTTTCCTAGTAACTGTCGCTGTGGCTCCCCAGCGCCCAAGCCCTTCACCGGCCATAGGCTGTAGGTCGAGCCCTGCCATCCCAGCACTCCAGCCTCAGTTCTCGGGTACCACCTCTCCACCACACACCCCGTCATCCCTACCACCACACACTTCCTTTCCTCTTCTGGCACCACCCTAGCTGCCACCCCTTCAAGGCTGGTTCAGATGCCTTCCTCTTCCAAGAAGCCTTCCGTGATTTCTCCCCTCCTGCCACCCTCAGCTGGTTAATGCTTTGCTCTCTCCATCTTTACTAATGTCAGCACTTGCCCCGAGGTCAGGTAAATCTAAAGGAGGAAACTGGGACACACAGCTGAACTCCCGGGACCGCTGGGACCCACTGTGACCCACTGTGGCCGGGAGCTAAGAGATACCAGCTACTGCTTCCAACCAAGCTGCAGGTACCAAAGCCGGGGACACAGCTCAGCAGCATCAGCGCCTGCCAGGCAAGTGCAAGGTCCTGGGTTCAATCCTTGGCACACACACACACACAAAAATAAAAGTTGTAGGTACCGTGAACCTTTACTGATGATCTGTCTGCCTGCTGTCTGCTGTCATTCTCTGTGTGTCTGTCTCTCTCTCTTTCTGTGTATGTCTCTCTTTTCCTTTGGTTTTTTGAGACTGGGTCTCACTTTGTAGTTCAGGCTGGTTTTGAACTCACTTTGTAGCCCAGGCCGTCCTCAAATTCACAGTCATCTTCCTACCTCAGCCTTCCTAGTGCTGGGATTAAAGGCCTGTGCCACCACACTTGGCTAGATGGATGGCATTTATGTCCTTGCTAAATGCATTAGTATTTGTGATTTTGCATATGAAGGAATCAAGGGGCAGGCCATGGTTGGCACACACCTGTAATCCCAGCACTTGGGAGACTGAGGCAGGAGCATCTCTGTGAGTTCAAGTCAAGCCTGAGCTACATAGTGAGTTTAAGGCCAGCCTGAATTACAGAGTGAGACCTTGTCTCAAAAAAGAAGAAGAAGGTGGAGGGAAGGAATCAAGGCCCTAATAAAGGTGTGTCCAATTCTGCACTCCCAGGCTGTATAGACCCTGGACAGCTAGTAATTTGGCCCCATAAAATAATAATCTTTATCACCGTGATATGATTTTTAACGATTTTCATGACTCATTTGCATTGTGCTCAAGCAAGGGCTGCACAGGTGACAGGGGGCAGTTGTGCAGGGAGGGCAAAGTGCTAACCCCACCTCCCACCTGCCTCAATCAAAACCCTCAGGTGTCAGATGCTCCAGGGCTCTTGCAACACCTGTGATGACAAGATGCACTGTGACAGACAAGTTTCCTCATTAATTATTAATGTGGGCTTCTTGTGTTATTTCATAAAATAATAAGTAAAATATGAAGAAGGAACTTTTGCTACTTCTATACAGTATATTTTATATATATATATATATATATATATTTTTTTTTTTTTTTTTTTTTTGTCTTTTTGAGACAGGGTCTCACCATGCAGTTTGGGCAGGACTTGAGCTCATTTTGTAGCCCAGGCTGGTCCCAAACTTGCAACAATCTTCCTGCCTCAGCCTCCCAAGAGCTGGGATTACAAGCATGAGCCACCATGCCTGGCTTATATTATGTATTTCATAGGGAACCTGAGGCAATTCCTCACTACTTGGTGTGGCTCACACAAGACAAAAGGTTGCATTCATATTCAGCACTTAGGAGGCTGAGACAGGAGGACTGCCTCCTGTTCCAGGCCAGCCTGAGCTCCTAGTGAGTTCAAGGCCAACCCTGAACTACGTAGCAAGACCCTATCTCAAAAAACAAAAAAGACAATGCAGTTTGTCACACAGACATTAAGGTGTTTTGATTTGTTTTGTTTTGTTTTTTTAGGCAGGATCTCGCCATGGAGTTCAGACTAGCCTCAAATTCATGGCAATCCTCCTGCCTCAGCCTTCTGAGTTCTGGGAATAGTGTGTGCCACTACACCTGACTAGCACATTAGGTTTTGGGGGTGAGAATGGAAACCAGGTCTGAGAACACACTGAGGAAAAATCCAAACTCCGTTTTACCCACTATACTCTTTTTTGTTTGTTTGTTTGTTTTTTTTTGTTTTTTTCGTTTTTATCGGTACCAGGGATTGAACTCACGACTGCCTGCTTGCAAGGCAGGTGCTTATGCCGCTGAGCTAAATCCCCAGCCCCTACCCACTATACTCTTATAACACAGACACCCCTGTGGACAAATTGGGGTAGGAGGGACCCCCACACAACAAACAGCAATGGGTTCTGGAGAAGACATCACCTGGGCATCCTCCAACCCAGCTTGGCCCCACACCATCTACCTAGGACAGCATCAGGTCCTGAAAGTGGACTCAGCCCCCAGCCTGCTCCCACCGCTGCGGACACCCACACAAGCCCAGGGGTGTCTGACATGTGCTCCTCACCACCTAGGACTACATCAGACCCCCACCACCACCCTTCCGTGGCTTTGCTTAGTTTGCAGCTCACAGGACTCAAACACAGCGACCTCCACCTGTTTATCCCAAAGAGGTTCCCCAGTTCAGGGATGAGGACCACCCTCCTGGAGTCTCCAAGTGGTCCATTGCCCTGGAGCTCCCCAGACCTGTCATTTGGGGGTTTTATAGAGGCTTCCTTACATGTACACAATTGATTGAATCCTTGGCCCAGGGCAATCAGCTTAACCTTCAGCTCCTCTCCCGTCAGGGAGGCAGCAGACAGGACTGAATCCTGTGCAGGTTCCTGGTATGCAGCTCCCTGGCTGACGCCACCTGAGGCCTGCCGGCTCAGTAGCATACAAAAGATACTGATGGTTTTGAAGATTCAAGCATTTTAGGAGTTCAAGGCCAAAAAAGGGGAAGAAGATAGAACACATATTTCACAATATCCACATCAGGTCTGTGGCCCCAAAGCTTGCTTCCCCAAGACTTGCTCTGCCTCCCACACACACACACACAGCTAGCCCACAGGCACTCTCTGTGGGTGGGTGCACAGGCAGACAAGTGGTCACAAGCAGGCCAGCGGCCATTGCAGGTCCTCAGCAGAACTAGGCTGAGGAGGATCACAGATTCGGCCCTGAGTGGATGAAAGGAGGAGCCGAGCTGGAGGAAAGTGAAAACTCCCCAGGGCCCCAGGACGGGCCCCTGCCTGCAGCCCAAAGGGTGAGGACATTCGGTCACCACAGCAGGGGTGATGGGTATCAAAATGACCATCACAGGGATGTCCCACATCATAGCCAGGCAGCACTCCTGCCTCTTCCTTGTGGCACATGGCAGTCTTCCCACTGGTCACCTTCCCACTCAGTGATCTGAAGGCCAAGCTTTGCCTCTGCCTCCAGGAACCGACACCCCGCCACCACCACAGAGAACTGCTTAGAAGGAGGAGA